TGAGAGCAGCAGAAGTACAATTAACTGTTGAACATCAATTACCTGTACTTCTCTATGAATCTTATCCTATGAAAATTCAAATAAAAAATTGTGAAAATGTTGATATACATTCAGCAACGTAAGATTTCATTGGTTTTTGAAGCTTAAGTCTTTACATACATGTCGAAATTTTTATATCAGATTTTTTTTAAGTTAAGATTAAATGATAAATCTTGGAGAAAAGATTGTTATTTTGAACAAAATCTGTTCAATTTGAGATGAAAAATAAAGAATATCCTTTTTCGCTCATAAGAATCTACCTAACAGAAAGACTGATTGAAAAATATGTTTTTCTTTTAGAAAAAGTAGAGTTTTGTTTTTCGCTTCTTCTCCGTTTATACTTTTTCAGAATTCTCGAACGAGTTTCATTGTAGTCAATTTACTTTTTCTTTTGTTGCAAAGAATATATGAAGCTTGTGTGCGTGTTTTTTCAATTAAGTTTATTATTATTATTATTATTATTATTATTATATAACAAATGCGCTACTATAAATAGAGGTTCATTTTTCGCGGTGTTGAATTACTCATTCTTTTTCTCTGCATGAAAAAGGAAGGACACTTTAGTCTGACATACTCTTTGAAATAAAAAAAAATGAAATCTATAGAATGAAGGCCAACAGGAAATTTCGGGTTATCAAATGAGCTAATTTTGATCCAACTTTGTTGAGTATCTTCCGAAAAACGTAATGATATGACAAGGTCGATTTTTGAGGTGAGGCTTAACAGTCAAATAAAAAACTATTTTAATTAACTGTGATTTAAAAAAAAGTAATGAAATTTCTCTTTTAGTTTGACTTGCACTTGTTCGAATTCAGATGATAACTCTCCAACACCGGATGATAGTAAATTTAAATTTACAATTATTTTTTTCTGATATGTTTATTATGTATTTGTAGCTTTTCTTTCTTATTCAATATCGGATAGTAATACTGAAACAACAGCACATTTATGTTCAATGACATTTGAAACAATTAAAAAAGATGCTGAAGTACAAAATATTTATTTAGTCATTTAAACATATAAACATCTATTCATTTCTTTTTCTTTCTCTTACTTTTGAAGATTGATCAAGATTTATATGCACGATGTAATAATAATCGTCCACGAGATATTACTATTCGAGTTTGTTTTGTTTTATTTTATTTCTAAGAAGAGTTAAAATACGATTATTTTAGTTGTCTTATGAACGATTAAATTTACATTGTATGAAAGAAATAATCATTCAATTAGTTGTTGTTAATCCATTTTCTATTCAATTTCAAACAATGGGAATGATGGTAAATTTAATAATAAAAGAATTTATTTTTACTTTTATTTTTTCTTAGATGGAACCTCTTGCTTCATTACGTGCTCAAGAGCCATTTATTTTAATGATTGATACGAAATGTACATCAACTATTCCAATTACTATTGTTAATAGCAATTTTAAACCTGTAAGTATATATATGTTAAAGGATATTTTTATATAAAAGAAGAATTTATTTTATTTATTAGAGTCAATTTATTATTAGTGAATGTGCAATTGAATCACAGATCGACAATAGTAAGTTATATATATATATACGAAAAGAAGTTCGTCATATTGATGTATTTTTCTTTATCTGATGAAGAAATTCTCTTCGATGCTTCGCAATAGTTCTTTCTTCCCATCAGATATATATCAATTTTCGGAGCTCAATGGGTATTTTATTTTGCATAAAATATTTGTCTTTATGTACAATTAATAAAGAATTGGTGTCGACTATGCTCTCTGATAGATCACTATAGAACTTACCGAAATTATTTGACGCCATATTTTGTTTATATGTCTACTGAGTAAAAAAAAAAATTATTAATTTCTGACGCGTCAATTTACATTTACGTATCTTCGATCACTTGTCCTATAACATATTTGTAATGATTGAAATAATAGACTTAGAAATCTGTATTACCAGCAAAGAATATCATAAAAATATTTTCGCACATGTGTTCTATCCTAGGTTTTTAACAATTAGATAAAATTTATAACGGACTATATGTTCATTGAAGTATATAAGCTGATATGCAGGAGGGACTACAAATCGCACTATTATAATAAATTGAAATATTTCTGCTTCGGTTTGTTCGAATGGCCAGAATTTTTAGTTAGTGATAGAAACTTATTTAAAGTTTTTTTTTTCGTACCAGTATCAAGTTATATTTTTGACCTCAATAAAGAAATTTCATTTATTAACAAGTAAGAAAAATACATATGAAACGTTTCATAGAAAGATTTCAGTTGTCATCGCAGAGAATGATACGAAAAAAATAATCAAAAGGAACTTTATGAATAATACTATATTGATGCACACAGAACAAGTTTTCAAAACTAGTCAATTTAAATGTTAAAATTTATATTCCATAATTAAAACACACAATTTCAACCCTATGAGTACCAACTTCATTGCAAAAATCAGTGTTACATGTTTGAAATTTTGAAAATGTTGACTTTTAACTATAGTTCTAAAAATTTGCTCTATGTGTATCAATACAAAATCGACTTGAAGAATTTTTTACTGTAATACTATTTATTGCTCACTCTGTACATACCATTTGTAAAATTTTATTTTTCCTTCTTTTAATGAAGGAATGCTAATTGTTTATAATTATAATAAAATTTCAATGTTTTTTTTTTTTTTTTGTATCGTTATAGTACAATTAAAATTAGATGAAGTAGTAACTGAAGGTTTTTGTCTTCGTACTCAACCAATTACTGCACTTATTGTTCAAAATCTTCTTGTTGGTGAATATAGTTTATATTGGAAACGGTTAGTTTCTTTTTTTTTTATTTGAAATTTTTATTTTGATTATTATTATTATAGATCAAGTCATCCACATATACCTGAATTATGTACAACATTTTCATTATCTGATTTTAATGTTGAACAACAACAAGTTTATATTGAAGTAACAACACCAAATCATGTGCCTTTACAAGAACCATTTCAAATTAATTATCGTATACATAATCGATCAAATATTGTTCATGAATATAAAGTTAATCTTGAACAAATGAATCTTATTGTTGCTGTTTCTGGTAGTACAATGGTAAATAAAATAAAATGTTCTTTTTCTTAAAATAAAAATATTAAATTTATGTTAGACATCATTACTTGTTCCACCACTTAGTTCATCAGATGTTAGTTATACATTAGTTGCAACACTTTGTGGTTTCGTACAATTACCAAAATTAAAATTATCAACGATTCGTCCACAATCACAAGAAATTGATGAATCAATTGATAAAACATTACCAACACATATTTTTGTTGTACCATCATCAAAAGATGAATAACTTAATGAAAATTGTTTCATTTCATTTTTAAAATATTGATTTGATTATTTCGTAATAAAAATTTCCTTTCTTTTTTTTTTCTGTTCTCCTTTCTATTTGATTAAATATACTGGAAAATGTTTGTTTTAGATGTTTCTGAGATTATTTCATAACCGGTAAGAATTTATATTAGATGATTTTGCTAATAATTTTCATTTTTTTTGACATGTAATGCATTACTTTTTTGAGATTTGCAAACTTTTTTTTTTTTTCTTTTTTGAAAAACAAATTACAATATTTTGATAAGAACAACATTTATAATATCATTTATTTTGAATTTATTCTTTAGTATATTTCAGCAGAGAATATCATAGGATGGTCTCCTTCGTCTTATGCTGCATTTTTCAGAATATTTTCATTTAATCATCTTGTTTTGTAGGATGAACTTTTCATTGCTTTGTTTTGCCAAGGATATTGAACTTGTCTGTATATGACGTAGAATGTAAAATATTATAGACTATCTATTGATGGAAAAATTATTTACAATATAATCATGTTAATAAAGTTTATGAGGAATAAAGTTTGTTTGTTTTGAATACTATCAAGAATAAATGAGTTAAAAAATAAAGTAAAATAGATCATAAGATAACTATTGCTTCCAGTTGCACAGAATAATCGTTATATATATTTTTCTTTTACTCTTGTGTACTTGTAAATTTTAGGGAATGGAATTGTAGAATTTAATCTGTGAAAGCTTCGATCTTAAACGAAAGTTTTTTTTTTCTTTTGTTTTTTTTTCTAAAGATATTGAATATTCGCAAACCAGTAGTAGTATTACATGAATGTGATCGAAAAATGAAATGTTTGTTCAATAATTAGCATTTTAACAATAGAGAAATTATTTTAGTTAGAACTACTAAGATAATTGAAGGAATATGAGACTCGCTTATGAACAAAATTCTAGCTGACACTGTTGAGAGTCAATTTTCTTTCATATACTTTTTTGTAGAATAGTATCTGAGCAAAATAGTGGTCGTTCTTATCAAGATTTGTATATAATTTTAAGGTAAACTTGTAACTTGTAAAGAGTTTTGAGTAGTTTTTTCATGTAACTCTTTTAGATTTATCGATCGAATGTCCCTGATTAATATCAGTAGAATAAAGTTGTCTATTAGTGTCCTGTGGAAACTACTTTTTTCGATTCCCGTTTCCATTATACTTTCAGAATTCTTATTACGATTTCATTTTTTTGTGTTTGAAAAAAACTATCATTACTAGACACTAATTTCTGTCAAAGTCACACATTGCACAACGTAAAATGGTAAATAAACTTGTCTAATTTCTGTTGATAGGTATTTGTTATTTGCCATTTAATTAATAAGCAATGCCAAAGTCTTTGGAAGAATGTCGAAGTCTATTTCTCAACTATGTAACATCGAATTGACTTCGATATTATATGTTTGAAAGAACAAAGTTTAAACGGGACGAAGAAAAAATTGTTTTCGCCGTACACTACTAACTATATTAGTCTTTCACCCAAGATCCATGACTTATGAACAGTTAAAACTATGAATATTATTAGCATTTCATTACGTAATTCTTATCTATCTATTTGTAAAGTTTGTCAAAATTCATATTAATTCCACGTTCATCAATCAATACATCATCAATGATAGAACAGTGTTGGCAATGTCAACGTACAATTGATCGAAATGAATCTCTAGCATATTGTCCATGTGAAAAACATGTTTTATTACCAGTTCGTTCTGAAATTGATTATTTCCGTTTATTTCATTTGCCACGTTCCTTTGAAATTGATACAAAACAATTAACAAAAATGTTTCGAAATAAAATGAAATTTTTACATCCAGATCTTTTTTCAAATAAATCTGATGTGAGTAAGTAAAAAATCAATTTTATGAAAATTCTTATTTGTTATGTTTAAATATTTTATCATAAAATTTTAGATCGAAAAAAAATATTCTCAAAATCAATCAGCTTTACTTAATGAAGCTTATAAAACTTTATTTTCTCCATTAGCACGTGCACATTATTTACTTAAATTAGAAAATATAACTATTGAAGAATCATCAGTTCAACTTGAATCAGATTTTCTTCAACGTATTATGGAAATAAATGAACAATTAGTTGATGAAAATAATGATAAAAAAATGTTTCCTACTGAATTAGCCATTAAAATGAGACAAGAAATTGATGATCATATGAAACAGCTATCGAATGCATTGAACACAATGAATTTAACAAAAGCTAAAGAAATTTTAGCACGATTACAATATTTCAATAATATTAATGACAAATTGACGAATCTGGAAGTAAAACATGGTATTATTTAAATAAAAATAAAACGAAATAATTTTTTGTATTGCATATTAGTCAAGCTAAAAATAAATCTAGCGAAAAAAAAAATAATTTCATCAGTGCATGTTAAGCTTTGACATTCAAACACATGAAAAGTATTACATGTCGGCTGTCATCTGTGAATATTGTGCATTCCATTTGACTTTCAATGAATATTTTCATTCATAAATGTTTAAAGAATTACTCTATTCTTCTATTTTGTAATCATAGTCACAAATTAGAGCTGCCGACAGGCTAGACTAAAAACCACAATGTAGTCTGGCATAACAAAGTAAGTCGATTGATATTTTTAATTTTTCGTATAGATTTAATTGTATAACTCTGTATTTATGTATCAGTCTATTTTCAATTGTTCATTATTTTTATTTTCATAAAGATAAGATAATCATAAGTTCTTGCAAGAAATAGTAGATTAAAACAAACAGATAATTATCATAAATATATTTTATTTATTTTTTTTTTTATAAAAAACGCTTGAATTAACGAAATGTGTTAAATTATATCAATACCGTTTTGCATAATCGAAAAAAATGAAATTATGATAACAAAAGCAACATACAATCAAATATAAAACGAAGAAATGCAAGAATACATGCAACGAAAATGCAGCGAATAAGTGATAACTATAATAAAATACAAGGATATTTACATTTTCACAAAAGTACGAAAGCAAATTTTACTATTCGATTGCTTTGGATCTAAACAAACTCTTATATCAGTCAATATAAGTTCTAAAAAACATGAAATTAAACGTTCGTTTTAAGTATTTGCTGCTGAAATCGAATAATTTTGTTGAAGTAGTCTCGAATAATAAGACAATACATCAAACATTTGATTTACAAAATGTACAAGCCATGTCTGTTAGTCAGACCGAATACTATATGGACGAATAAAACCAGACTAAAATTTCAAAATTCAGTTTGACCTAGCAGACGATCTGATGAATAATTATCCTGTACAAGTTTCATTTTGCTTGCCATTGTCCGCATCAAAAAATTCGATATCAATCATAACTTCGTATTTCTGTTTAAAATAATGATAATTTTTTGCATAAACACTTAGTCAAATGTTAATATACTTTTCTTCATACGATCATTTTAAAACCCGTTTATTTTTCTTTGAAAATTCATAATGTTTGCCTTAGAGGAGTGTTCTCACATCTGTATTTGTGTATTGAATCTTATTAAAAAAATTCGATTTCTTTTTCTAATACTATTAAAGAATGACAGTGAGAAAAGAAAAATAATCGACAACTCTTGTATTTTTGTTCTCTATCGTTCTCTTGCTGCGATGTGACAAAGAATAAAAATATTACAAGAAGCAAAACCGAACAGCAACAACAACAAACATTGAAACTTAGATTTGATAACATACACGTGATATTAAGAAGAATTATGTTTGCTCATCGTAGTCTTTCATTATATGGCGGACATGATGATGAAATCAATTGTCTTGTATTTTCAAGTGATTTTGAAATACTTCTTACAGCATCAATTAATGGATTTATTCGTTTGTGGAATACAGTATTCGATCATTTGACATTTAAAATTCAAGAAAAAGCAGGCATGTCAATAAACAAAAGAATATTACAATAAAAAAAAAACGACATATTTACTTAACTTAAGGTCTTATTCGAGCATTGGCTATTTCAAGTGATGATAGATATTTCGCATCAACTTCTAATGATACTAATGTTCGTTTGTATGAAACAAGAACTGGTTGTTTACTATATAAACTTACTGGTAGAAGAAATTTAACGAAAAATCATAAAAAATCACTTTTTCTTTTTCTTTTATTGATTTTAAGGTCATACTCATTCGTCTGATTGTCTTCATTTTTCAACAGATAGTCAATTAATAGCAAGTGGTGCATGGGATTGTCGAACAATATTATGGAATGTGATAGTAAAAAAGAGATTGATAGATAGGTTTTTTTAATTTTTTGATTAAAACAAATATATGATTTATAGACGGGTGAAAAAATCTACGATTTTCATCATCATACAAGTGCAGTACAATCGATTTCTTTCCATCCAAAACTGAATTTGATGGTGAGAATGAATTTCTTTTTTGTTGTCGATTATGTTTAAAAACCAAAGAGAGAAAATTTGTTTCTATGTTCAAGAAGACTGATAAAAAACTTTCTTTCTTTTATAATTTAAATGGATTTTATAAGATTTATTTCGAGATTTTGATTAGACATCGATAGGAATTCTTCTCATGAAACGTATAATTTAGATAATTTATTATTTAAAGTATAAAATTTGATGAAGTAGATCAATGAAATATCTTCTTACTGTCAAAAGTCTCTTAGTCATTAGCTCGAATATTTATCTTTGAAATTAACGATAGTAGTAGTCAATAATAAAACATATTAATTTAATATTTTTTTAGGCAACTGGATCGCATGATCATCTTGTTTATCTATACAATTTTGATGATCCATTACCATTGAAACCTAGTATGCTTCGAGGACATTTTGGTAATGTTCGTGCATTAGCTTTTTCAAATTTACCATTTCTAGTTTGTGTCTTATGGCTGTTTTATTTTCTATTATTTATTCTTACATATGTTGTAATTTAATAGGCATCGGCTGGATGGGATAAGATTATTGTTATTTGGCAAATTGAAATGACTCGTATACGAGCTCGTCTTTTCGGTCATACAGGATGGATTCAAGCGGTTATATTTCGTGATGATGATGGTTCCATATTAGCTAGTATTGATGATGATGCTGTTCGTGTTTGGAACATATTTAGCAATGATTGTTTACATCGCCTTGCAGTTAGAATTTCTTTTTTTTGAATTCTTTTTACACATATCTTTTCTTTAGATTGTCAATGATTTATCTTGTTGTGTTCGGTTTTTACCAAACAATCGTGGTCTTCTTGTCGGTGGTGCTGTTTATGAACTGTTAGCAGAGCAATGGACATCTCCTCGAGAGCGAGCACGGACAAAACGTATACGTGAACCAGTACCTGGTGAGACTGTATTAATGTCAAGACAACAAACACTTTTACCAAGACGAGCACGTCGTGATACGAGTGTCAAACTTCCAACACATAGATCTCGTCCAACTACACAACGATCTATACTTCGAAAAAGAATACCTGTTGAATAGTATATTTTGTATTTTTATTTAATTACAAAAGATGATTATCAATATAATAAACAAATATATAATATATAGCACCACAAAAATTATCGTATAAGAAAAATGCTTGTTATGTAATATTGTTAGTTTGTTTTTATTCTTGCTCCAAAAACACCATAGTATAACTGAATACTACTTTGTCTAACATTATCAGCTTCCTTCGATATTTTGTCGAGTTTTAAGCATCACTAAATTATTGAGAATCATTAAAGATTAAAGTTTTTAATAAACTCAATAACAATGTATGGAACGAAGTCAAATCAACAACAACTTATTCTCTTCTGAATAAAACTGGTTTCTAACTAAATTGGTACACGATATTTTACGACTTTGATACATACACATGACAATAAACATGAATTTTTCAATAATAAAAATTATAAATATTCGTTGAGCAACAATATAAAATACATGTGATCAACTATTGATCCATATTTTTTATTTGAACTTTTACAGTTTAAATTTATCATGACACGGAAGTACATGAAATATGATAATAATAGTTAATAATGGAAGTCTTTTTTATTTCTATTTTTAATACTCTAATGATGGTCATATGAATAGGATCTCAAATTTAACAAATTTTAAAATTAAAATAAAAAGAATCTCTAGTTTTTATTATTATTATTATTATTATGATTTTCATGCACTTTCGTATCATGATAAAATTAAACTGTAAAAGTTCAAATAAAAAATATGAATCAATGATTGATCACATGTATTGTATATTGTTGTTCAACAAACATTTATAATTTCTATTGTGACTTTGATAATAATAATTCTATTTTATACTATATTACCGACTCCTATCGAATAGTCTTTATGTTTTTGGAGTAGTGTTGGTTGACGCGAGACTCAGTGTACCGTAGTACAGCATCACAATTAGAAGAAAAACAGCGACATACTTGAAGATAAGATGAATTCTTATCAACTAAATAATATGCAAATATTTTTCTCAGTTCACTGCACTTGTCGCATGATATAACATGTGATGTGGTGGAGAAAATCTGGATTTTACCGTAAAGCATAGAAAGTCAACACTACGACATTCTTCAACAATATAGAAAAATCATCAAAAATGAATAGCACAACTCAAGAGGTGCAGAACGAAACAGAATTCCTTTAAATATACTTTTGTATAATTCTATTTCGTAGTCATCTATTTTGTTATTTTTACGATCCGACTTCCATTAATTATGCCTTTATTTTTTATATTCTCGCATTCACGACGACAACAAACACAAAAAAACAATAAAAAAGAATTTGCTTGCTTTTGTTCTCTTGTTTATTTAATGTCACGTATGCTGACTGTTTGCTCATGTCTGGCGATGTGTCTTGTGGGCTAGACGCATTTTCAATTATAATTTGTTTTTTTTTATACACGAAGGTACTCATACCTTTATCATCATTCTTTTTTACCTTTATGTTTTCTTGTTGACACATTTCTTTCGCAGAAAAAGATAACCATCTCGTCTGCATTCATACTCATATTAGGTATTATAATAAAATAAGGAGTGACAAAAACATAATATTTATCATCTCTCTTCTTCTTTAGAATTTTAGTACTAATAAGTGTGAACATGGAACAAGGCGAATATTTATATTCAGGTAATTCATGGTTTAAAGAACGTCTTGATGGTCCTGATGGACATTTATGGCGAAGAGCTCGAAAGATGTTTCTATTTAATCAGAACTTATCATCAGCACTTAATTTGTTTAAGTTTGATTATACAGCCATAAAAACTATATCTAGACCTGAAGGCACAGTTCTTCAAGGTTCTCGTGACACAACTCTTAATTCTAATCATGACAGAGAATATCGACCAGGTCAAGCATGGGCAGATGATGCACAAAATTCTATTCGTACATTACTTGATCGAATTGTAACTCGATGGATACCAAATTATATGTATGCATCTAAAATTAATACTGAAAAACTTCATCCTAGTTTAACTTCAGTACCTTTAAAATTGGTACAAACGATATATGGTAAGTTGTCATGTAATATAAATATAAATATAAATTAAATAAAAATCTTGTGTTACTGATAGACAAAACAAATGATGATATTGATACATTCAATGTCAATAAAGCTTTAGCAACTTATCAGGCATGTCTTGTTCCATTACACTATCATGAATTATGGAGCGAGATTGCCCGAGATTTTAAAAATGTTGATATTACCCTTAAAGAACGTGAAACAGAAATTAGTTTTAAATTATTCTATAATAAAACAACGCTTGATGAAGAAAAAGACAGTGCACTCATTTTTGGAACCAATCGAGTAACTTTTGGTAAGTTTTTATCTTTTTCTTTTCATGTATCTTTTAACTATTCTTCAAAGCTGATAATTATAAACCTTTATCAAAAAAACTTGGTCTTTTTGATCTTGTTCTGATTACAATCAATAATATGAGATATTTTGGTATGATTATACATGTTGAACAAATTAAAGTTAAAGTAGCATGTGAAAAAGAATGCTCAAACAACAATCATACGACTAATACTAATCACAATGAACTTGAATTTGAATTACAAACAACAATTGGTGTTTATGTTTCAAGTGCATGTTCCGATGCTATCGAACAATATGGTAAACAAAATAAAGATGATAAGGTATCAGTATGTAAATTAAGTAATATATCATCATCAAGACGTATGATCAGTGCTATAAATAATATACAAGAATGGCCTCAATATCGTAGTTTACTTAAACCTATGATTGATGATATATACTTTCAATTACCTACAGATTGTGATCTTTTAAATATAACTCCTACAAATGGATTCAATATGGCTCAATCAAAGATAATTGCTATTGCGGAATGTATGTTTGATGATATTCAAGAGCACTTACATCTCGTACACGGTCCTCCTGGTATATTGCTTTTATTTACTCAGTAAAACTAAGAGATTTTACATATTATTATTATTATATATATAGGTACGGGGAAAAGTCGAACAATCGCAGGTATTGTATTGAAACTGCTATCTAAGTTACCAGAATCAGGACGTAAACAAAAAATTCTTCTTTGTGCACCATCAAATAATGCATGTGATGAATTATCCCGACGTATTCTTGATGAGTTTGTTAATCAAAATATTCTCTACAAACATGGTCAGTAGTTTCTTTTGAAAAATATGCCATCTATCTGATTGCAACGAATTTAATCTGAATAGGCACTCTAGTTCGCATTGGATGCCAACCGCCTGATGATTATCATCTATGTGATCATTTTTTAGACTTTATGATTCTTCAAGATATGGTAAATGCTTTAAAAATAGAGCAAAGACTAAATACTAATCTTGCTAAAGAAACAGAAGCACGTATTGTAAGACATGCCAAAATAGTTGTTTCAACATTGAACTATTGTGGAAGTACAAGACTACTTCCATTGAAGTCATCTACTGTATTTGTCATTATTGATGAAGGTAAGTTCTATTATTGTCCAATAATGTAAATTGAGAAAAAGAACAGATAAGACTATCTCTATCAATATATTGCGTGTTTAAAAGAACATCTGGTCTAAGAAAAAAAATGTTGCAAGTTTACTTAATACGGTAAATAATTTTGTTTCTCTCTGTATTTATCTTCAGCAAGTCAAAGTTTGGAAGCTGACTTTCTTCTACCACTTCGATTTAAATGTGCCAAACTTATGCTGGTTGGTGATCCTTTACAACTTCCTCCATGTGTACTCAGTGACGCTGGAACTACTTATGGTTTATCTCAATCACTCTATGCACGTTTGTATTCTATTTTTGAAAAACACTCAGATGGTCCAATAAGTATGCTCGATATTCAATATCGAATGCATCCAAGCATATGTCGATTTCCAAGCGAATACTTTTATACCAATCGTTTATTAACAGATGATTCCGTAATCAGAAGAATGATGCATTTTACTCTCCAGCCATTGTATTTATACAATATGACTAAATCACCACATAGCGCTGATAGTGCTAGTTCATCGTTTAATGCAGGTGAAGCTAGATGTATACAGCATATCTGTAAATTATTAATTGCACATCTCGCTTTACAACCTGCTGCTGTTTCCACTGAGAGTGAAGATGATGAAGACGATGATGAGTCTAGCAATACTTCTTCGTCTAATTCAACTCATTATAGTGATGATGATAGTGATTATGAAACAACGACAGAAAAAATTTTTTTACAACCATTATCAAATAATGATCCTCGATCGATTGAAGCTCAACAAAGAATTGCTGTAATTACTCCATATAAAGCTCAAGTTCGTCTTCTTCGATCATATTTACCTCCGTACATTGAAATTATGACAGTTGATAGTTCACAAGGCAAGGAAAAAGATATTGTTATAATTTCATGTGTGCGTAGCGGTGGTACGATTGGATTTTTAGATGATATGCATCGTGTTAATGTTATGTTAACTCGATCGAAAAATGCTTTGTATGTAGTTGGGAACTTATCTCAATTGGCCAGTCAACATGATGGTTGGAATGCTTTTTTTGAGCACGCTCGACTGAACAGAATTATTTGTGATGTGAATATGATCCTACCCGATCTACCGTATCGTCGCTAAAAAAATTCAATGTTAGTACTTTGTAACAACACCTTTTTTTCTTCGTATATTTAATATACTTTGTTCAAAGAATGCATTGTGTATGTTAAAAATAATAAAAGCATTTTTCTCCACATATTATCTAATCCATTCTATGGCATCTTATAAATGCTAATCTATACATATAATTTGAGAAAACGAGATCTTTTTTATTAGACAAAGGAGGAGAGACAAAAATACGTCGAGGAGACAGAAAGTCAAATGAGAATAAGAAAGAAAAAATGGTCTCAACCATGATATGACATAATCGCAAAGGGAAATAATTAGTTGTTTGTCAATAAATGATAAAGCATGATACTCTCAATGTTTATAATTAATCCTAGACGAATGGTTAAATATTCGTGATTGTCGACTGAACAAAGAAAGATGCTTATCGGTTGCTAGTAAACCGAGAGAAATTAACTAGACTAAATTACATATTTTAGATTGCACTCAAACATTACAGTAATTAAATAATAAATGACGTTTAGATGGATATTGTTCATGCTCATCCTTTTCTGGATGAAAATTCTCTATATAGAGCATGAATGTCTGAATGACTTTTCTATCCGAATGATCAAAAGAATATTTCTTATTTATTGCATAAGTTTTGTTCATACTATCGCTTGTTACTTGATGAAAAAACTTGCAAGTCAGCTTAATTCATCATGCATTAATGAAAATTATGGACTTTGTTGATTTTAAAAGAAAAGAATGTGACTAAGAACGAACTTATCGACTGTGTTATGCCGTTTGACTTTATCGAAACATATATCAATGAATTTAAATTCTTCTCTGTTTTTCTAATAATGCGATTTGCAATTTCTCCAAAAAGTTATTTAGAAGCAAAATTTGAGAATAAATTCACGTTTCAAGTCTTTAATATCAACGCAGTAATAAACCAACAACAAGATGAAAATCATACACATGATGAAGCATTACTAGCATCTCTTTCTGATGAAATAATATACGATGTCAACGTTCTTAGTTTAGAATGGAGACAAATTTACAATGACATGGTTGCTGGCGAAGATTCAATAGATAAGTTTAATTATCATTTACTAGAATTTAAAAATCGGAAATAAGATGAATTTTAATGTTGAAACGGTATGTGTATTCCAAAAAAAATCTTCTTTGATACTGAATTTGACTGCGTGAACTCGATTAACGAACGCCTATGTCGAAAAACTCAATGCTCGTGTGGTAATGGACAATATTTAAACTGGTCAACTATTATTAATCATTTTGATAGCTATGAATATTTACAAGATTCAGCGTATATATGTAAGATAATTGATACCTTGATAGAACAAAAATTCGGATCACAATGTGTATATCAGTAGACAAGAACAGCACTGTTTGATTTGAGGATGAAAAAATAAATCGCTTCCGACATTTTGCTTGTTTGATTTTTTTACTCTAAACCTGCAGTTCAATCAAATAATCATTTTCTTGAAAACTCTCTTAAATTCGTAATTATTGAACTGGTACATTCTAGAGAGAAAAGTGTGACATCTATCTGAGATAGGAATAAATTGTCTTTTAATTAAGTATGAAAAAAGTTTCTACGAAAACCATGACCAGGTGAACAATTATAGTGAAAGATAGAGCAATGTCAAAAAATGAAATTCGGAAAGAATTTTTTACTTTCTTTTCTCAATAGAAGACATCATATTTTGGAATAACTTGAAAGTTATATTGAATAAGTGACATATTGAACACACTTTGTTCGTGTATGCTTTGACCACTGATTAAATCTAAGAGCAAAACAAAGTACAGTCCTTATTATAAAAGTATGGAAAGGTTTATTCATTAGGGTAGACGCAATAAATAAGGCTGACAAGTATCGTCAATCATTGAACACTGAACACAATATGACTTTTTGGATTCTATCGACGTAATGTGAACAGACGATTCAAGGTCCTCAATTAATACCTTGAATTGCTTCCTACTTTACATCAGAAAGTATAGATTCATTGAAGCGATGCAGCTTTAATTAAATCCAATCAAGAGTAAAGCATAAAAAAACAAATAGGTGAATCCAGTGCCCAATTTCTTCTGACTATTCTTTTTGTTGATTTAATACATGAAATTATCACAAAAACTAACAAAAGACGATAAGTTTAAACGTAACTTGGAATTATTTGTGATGAAATTAACTCACAAGGCTCTATTTTGATTAATATATAGATGAAAATAGAATTTTTTAAATGAACTCTCAAGTTAGAATGATGACACGTTGACCAGTGGTCTGCTACTGATTAACAAACAGAAATATATTAAATATTATTTGAACTGAGCGAAAAAGTTTCTTAATCGAAGCATTCAAATAAAAATTAGCCTTGATCCAATTGAGATCATCTCTTGATATTCCAGATAGAATGATGATGTCAGTCAATTTCGCATTACTTGGTGAATATTTTGAAGCTCAGTCATGTTACATCAAACAAGTCCTGAAAAAGTGCATGAAATCCTTTGTAAGTCATTTCTTCAAAAGATCTCATACAGATCTGTAAAATCCATGCATTTTTCATTCCTCTTTTCGTGTAAGCATAATATTAGTGAGACAATATTTCTCGCGAAAATTGTACCAATCAAAGCTTTCTTTTCTATGTCATTTGATAATGCGCTTCAAATGCTATAAAACCAGACTCTGTGTCATTTAAAAACATGGTTACGAGATCAAAAAGAAAGAGTCAAAAGTTTATCATCAAATTTACTAGCTGCCAGAATGCATGACAATGATCAACATCTATCTGTGCAGCACTGAATTCAGCTAATCCGAGAAAGAAAGTCGTACTTCATCAGTAATATCTATAAACATTTCAAAGTAAAAGTCTGTTCAACTCATATCTTAGCTAGTGGCTGAACTGAAAGAGGCAGAGGAAATTCAGCTCCTTCTCCTATGGATCTTTGCCGCCCTTCTCCTAGTAACATTTTTGAAAGATGTATTATTTTTCTAATACAAAAATGTATTAGCCTTTGTAATAAAAGGTTTTAATACATACATATATCTTAGTTTGCGGAACTCATTTGTGTTATAGAAGAGAAGAAAATACAATAAATATTAGGAATGCTACATTACCATTACTTGACTACTTTTGTGTAATTATTACTTATTACTAGTAATGGTAATGTAGTTCCCGTAATAAGTGTAAGCTTGATTTTTGGAATTAAACTATTTTTACATAGAGATTTATTTCGCTGATTATTCTGTTTAAACTCTAAAGAAATGCTTTTTTTGATTAAAAAGATCATATATATATATATAAATAAATAAATAAAGTTTTGAGATTAATGCATTGAAGATTTTGTCAAACGTTCTGCAGTTGACATTGACATTGAATGTTGCCATTTACCTTGACCAGAACGAATGTTTTTCTTAAAAATAACATCATTTAGAATATCTTTTTTAAAATCTGTCCATTCTTTTCGTGTTTCTTGATTAATATATTCACGTCGAATATCATCTTGCGATAAATGAGCAAAAGTACGTTGAGCTGTATGTAATAATAATTTACGTGTTACTTCAGGTAATTCTATATAGATTCAAAAATAGATATTTAAAAAAATTTATTTCAAATTTTACCTAAAGTCTTTGCCGGACGAACAATTCCTAATCTACAATGAGTAGCAGTTACTATAGTACAAGTCTACAAAATAAAATAATTAGATTTATTTTGTTTTCTAAGTTAACTACCATTGCTTCTTGTAATAAAACACTTATTTCACCAAAGGAATCTGGTGATGTTATTTTTCCCATAACAACTTGACGTAATTGTCGACTCTAAATAAAAAATTAACATTTCAAATATTTTATCCAGATAAATAATATGATAAATCGAATTACTTTAGCACCATTGTGTGCTGTTTTGACTACATCAACTTTTCGTAAAATATGACATTCACCTGTTTTCATATAAGCAATAAATGGACAACGAAAACCTTCACTTGCTAAAACTATAAAAAAAAAAATTAATTCATTATCATCTTGTAATATGTAAAATTAATATTTTCCAATAATAATAATTCTTAAAAATTTCGATTTTACTTGTATTCTGTGGATAATCTATCCATTCGATTAATCGAACAAGTTCATCTGTTGGTTGCTTTGTCCACATTTTATATTCTCCACATGAACGTATTAATGAATATTTTTCTTGATATTCAGTTTGTTCAAATTTCTATTTTAAATAAATAAATATAAAGAATTCATTTGTCTATTGAATTATAGTAAAATTACTATTTTAATTGTTGCAAATTCATCTTTATCAATTTTAAGAAATTCGCAATTTTCTTCGGTTGTTATATACCATGGAGATCTTCAAGAGAAAAATTAGAAATAAAATCAAAGTACTTCTAATATAAGTTTCTACTTTAATTGGCCTTCTACTGATGGTTTTAACGAACCAAAACATTGTCCCACAGTAAGCTAAAACTAAAACTATCAAATTTATCTTATTCGAATTGTCATGCATACTGTTCCCAATGGTATTTGATATGCTAGCGGTGGAAATTGAGAAGTAACTGGTGGTGAAGTGACACCACCTTTCAAAATTAAAAAGAAACCATTGGAAGGCAATACTATAGAAGAACTCAAAAATACCAAATAAAAACAAAAACAAAAACCTCTAAATAAAACCTGGTTGTCGATTATCTTCGCATATTTCCAAATGAGCGACTTCAATAGTTTGTCGAAGTAAATTAGATCGTTGATCAAGTGCTAAAAATTGAGGAAATTGAGTCATTAATTGAAAAATTTGTTCATGTTCAACATTTGTTCGTTGAATATGTCTAATTCAAAATTGTTTTTAAAGAAAAATAAAATTGAAAAATTCTTTTACAATTTTCGTAAAAGTCGACGAAGCATTTGTATATCTCGTTGAAATGGTGTTATCTCTTTACGAGATCGTCGTATTGACATTTGTGATGAAGATAATGAAGGTGATTGAATTTCCATTGAACTTGGTGATGCTTCAATCATTTCTGTTCGACTGACTTTATTTCTAAATAATAAAACGACTTATAGTATACCCTAATGAACTATGAATATTCTGAAAAGAGTTAGGAATGTTCATGACTGATCGCTGCGAAGATACTACATTTTTAGGGACTTCTTTTAAGTGAGTGCCATGGTCTTCCTTAGGAACGATAAGAAAAAAATGATTTTCGGATTTCGAATTGAAACTATCTAGAGACAAGTCTTAGTAAAAATAGTTTATTGTGAGAGTTTCAAATCTTTTAATTGTTTCTATCCTAAGCAACAACCATGATAAAAGTGTTTCTTTTACATCATTGATACATGCATACACAGACAGATTCCGATGTTGTTACTTCAGAAGTAGAAGCAAATCAAAAGACATGACACTTTCGCAATAAACTATTTTCATTAAGGTCTATCTTCTTACAAGGTTTTAAGTCAAAAGTCAATTTTTCTGGTGTTCCTGGGAAAACCTAATATTCGATTCTAGAATCCTTAACATTTTAATCCATGGAAATAAATCAATGAAAAAAAGGTTTAAGACTAAAGACTTTCACTTAAAACTTTCTATTTTAATATATGTTTACCGAGTTGTCCAATATTTCTTCGGTTCAGGTTTTAATACTGATACATATTGTTTCATAAACATATGATGTGCTTCTTCTCTATAATAAAATTTAATTATTAATATTTTCATATTTACATTGTTGACATACCTATCATCATAATCATTTGAAATTTCTTGTAAGCGTTTCAATTCATGATAATCAAGCATTGATTGAGATGATGTCACATTTGAAACTAGAATTAAAATTAGTTTTTGTTATTTGAATTTTACAAAATTCTTACATGGATAAGCAACTTGTCTTGTTCGTATACATTTTGGAAATACTTCATTGGTGTTTTTTTCTTGCGGAGAAGAAGAAGAAGAAGATATCACCGGTGAAGCGACTAACATGATACTATTAAATTATAAATAGTAATTAATAATATCGATTTTTCAATGTGAAATCCAATCTTTCCGGCTTTTTTTTTGATTGATAAACCATTACAACAAGTTTTTACCATAGTAAAGACCTCTAATCAATCAAAAATATTCATTGAATATTCAATAAACCAATAAAAATCGACATCGATGTATATTTCTACAGCTGATGTTTTATATTTATAAACCATTTTTGTTGTTCTTCACATGGATAATTCAACTGTTAATCGAAATGTATGTTTGAATTTTTGAAAAAAAAAAGCTCATTAATTGATTATTTTCTTTTAAGGTATTAAATATTGTGACAAATCAACCGATTCGAAACATATCAAATCAAAATGGTATTCAATTTTCTTCTTATGAGATAATTATTTTCTTATTTATCTTAAATCTACTAGTTAAAATTCGTTCAGTAAAATCAAATAAACCGAATCTAGTACAACATCTTACTCGTTCGAATCCAATTCAAGTTTCATCTGGATTAAAGTACATCATGTATTTATTCTTTTTGTTTTATATATAAATATATATATATTCAGTATTCTTCAAACACGAATTCAATCAAATGATGATCCATCTTATCAACCATTGGTAACAATCAGTGATAATGATAATTCTGAGTTAGTTTTTATGTTTTAGAATTCGAAATTTAATAATTTATTTTAAAGTATGATAAAGATTAGTCTTATTGCTAAAATCACTTTTGATTTATTAGATATGATAAATATATTAATTGCTATTGAATCATTTTCATCAAATTTGAATATATTAACAAGATAATGCTATAGAAACTTAATATTAAATATAGTTTTAAGAATGAAAATTTATTAATTAGAATTGAAATATAATGTGTGAAATTTTTCTCAAACATCATTTTCTTCATTTACATAGCGTCGAAGAAGACAAAACATTATGTAGTATTCAAATACAAAAATATATAATTTTTTCTTCTTGTAGATTTCATACTTATGTAATAGATTGTATTTCAGTGATAAAGAACATGATGTTCTAAATCAATGTCTTATGTTTTCTGTCTGGCATAAAAGAAATCGTTTGTAAGAGATTACTTTAAGAATTATTTACGAAAAATTGTCGAGTTTTTTTTTTAAAATAAATATAGAGAAAGCCTATTCCTATTTCCACTTGTCGCAATCTCAAATAACGGAAATTACAGATTCAGCTTTTCTTATCTTAACAAAGAACGTACTGTTTCAAATAGCTTTAGATGAATGAACTAAATTAATTAAATATTTAATCTTTTCTCAAAACAGTAGATATGCAAAATATATTAAATTCATAATAGATCTGAGAATTATTACTTTCTATAGACAATATATATTTATATGATAAATACTTCCATTGATTGCATAGAGATTATATATATCATTTTTCATTTAAGCACATTTTCTAACTTGTTAATAAACAAACAATAAAATCTCTCTTTATTTCTTTGTAGTGAAGATGATTTTATTTCACCTATACATAAATTAACAAAAAACGAATTACGTGAAGAATTAAAATTATTTCGCCAAGATAATGATTCGCTTGGAAATAATATTGGTCATACTTTACTTACTAATAATAATGTCAATGAAGATGATGATGATGATGATGCAGGTGATATCGAGTTTCGTACTTATCAATCGACAAAACGTTCTATTTGCTGTTATCAATATCCATTTTCATTAAAAGAAAGTTTTTGTACGATATCATGATGACAAAATATCAGCAGCTAACATTTTCATGTCAGATATACATACAATTAATAGTTTTGCTATTTTTCTTGTTGTTTTATGCACGTAATTTAATTGTTTGCCTTAAAAAAAGAAACAAGATAATCTATCCAACGAAAAAAAAAAACTTACAACAAAAGGTTTCTTGAACACAAAACAATTGAAATTATCCATTTGAATCTTTTTAAGATTTTCATGTATTCTACATCGATAGATTGCATTTATTTTGAATAATGGAGAAAAACAAAAGGGTCTAATTGTGTTTTATATACATTTCGAACACTACTATATCATTTTGAAAAATGGAAATAATAGTAATATCATCGAAAGCTGAGCTACCATTTGATATTACTGGAACGTCTTTTGTTGTTATTGTCAAAATTGTAAAAATTATTCTTTTTTAGTGAATCTAATTGCAAAAAAAGCAAATTTCAATATTGTGAGATTTTTTATCTTAACTACAAACACAACTAAATGGATTTTGTTGAGAGTGAGAAAATTTTTCAAGTATCTTAGCTTTTTTGAATACCTTTAATGAACGAGACCCATTTCGATGGGTCTGTTACTGCATGTTTCTACTCTTATAAAGTTGTCACAATTCAATCAGATGAAATAAAAATTTTAGTTTAACTAAAACTTTCATAGTTTTTATTGCAATGTAAGTTTCAGTTCATTATCCCGTTAAGTAACTGATTTATGACAGTTCGAAGGTCGAAAATAGATGGGTGTGTTACCTGCATACAGGCTGAAGGCTATTATATTCGATTTCATTGCATTTAATTTTAAGAAAGACATATATTTTTATTGATCAGATATCAATTGAATAATCATACACAATAAAACTACTCTCGCATAATCAAATTAAACAAAAACAAAGACTTGATATGGAGATTAATCCTGACTCATCAATGATATTCAAATTCCAAAAAGAAAAAAAATTAGAAATTCCAGTAGTTTTCATTTTTCAAACATACCTCAAAGAAAAATACATAATTTGAATTTTTCTATTTGATAATCTATTGATAATGCCAAAAAAAAAAATATGCGTCAAAATATAATATTTATTTTGAACCCATCATCTGTCATCATTTCTTTTTTTTTTTGTTATTTGTTTTTCATGTTCACAACAACAACACCAACACACACATACATCGATCACAATGCGTGCATATTCACGACTCAATCGATCTCGATATCTTTCAATCTTACTACGTAGACAGACAGACAGACATATATATGAATGCATCGACAAGAAAAAGTAAAGACATATGTCATGTGAAATATGTGGACTTTACTCAAATTATAATTATTGAACATTAAATTAAATTATTCAATAAGATCTATCTACTATCAGACGTAAAAATGTTACAGGTAAAAATCATAAACTTGTACTTTTATACACACAGATTTAAACTTCGTTCATAATTATTCAAGCTTATTATATTTCATAAATTCATCAATTTGGACGTTTTTTATGTAATTCCTCGAAAACTTTTTTCCCTTCCTAATATATTACATAATTCATGACTTAGATATTGGTTTTTTTAGAATGTCGTTTTTTTTCTCATTCTAATCGATTACCATTAATATCTTAAGCAACGTTTCTTGTTTGTTCTAAATGTATTTGTAATGAAAATTATCAAACAAGTGATACAATCAATTAAATATAATAAAAAATGCGAGAATTTATTTAATATTTAATAAAAAAAAAGACAAAAGAAAAGAAACATATAGATGAAACACAGGACCTGTTAGATGAAAGCATATGTTAAAAAGAAAAAGAAAAACGAAGTTACATAAAATTAAACGAAATTTTGCTGTTCTAGTCTAAATACTGTTCGATAAATGCAAGAAATTATATTGTCTATTTCTTTATTTAAGTACGTTGTGTTGTTTGAGTTGTTTCAACACGAACCGGAAATACATGTTCTTGAGGAACCCCTGATACTGGTGGATTATCACGAATAACAACATCACGAATGATAGTAGGTTCAGGTCGAACACCATGAGTATCATAAGGTCCTTGTCCTACATTTTGTCTTGTTACAATAGCTTCTCCTATTGGACGATATGGATCATAATCAGTAGGAATTGGTCTTAATGGTACTGTTTCAGCAGCAGCTTCGTGTTGTGGTACAACTGCATAGTCGGTTTTAACAATTGTCGTTGTTGTTTCTGTTGTTTTTGTAATTGGTGGTAATTTTTTACCTGTAAGCCATGAAAAAATTAGAATTAATGGTAAAAGTAATGAAAGAATCATAGCAAGAATTGATAAAACAGTTGACCAACCAATACCAGCCTCTGTATTTTCAAAAAGTCGATCATAACCAAGTACTCGACGATGTTCAGTATGTGCTGTTTCACTAGCCACCTCAGGTTTTAGATTAGTTGTATAGGGAGCTCGACCTTGTGGCGATGTTTCATGAGTAAGAGTTTGGACAAAACCTGGATATGGTTTATAAACCCAGTTATGTATTTCTGCTGAAAATTCTTGATAATGTGTCAGATTATGTGGATATTGTTTAGGTCCTAAAGAATATGCTCGATAAGTATCCTTTGTTTGACGACGAATAGCTTGATGAAGTACAGTTGGACTACGTCGTATAAGCGGTTGTGAATTGTGACCATAACCAAGTACATTAGCAAGTCGTTGAAATATATATGGATATGCATCAGCAAATGAATGTGTTTCACGTTTAAGATAACTAAGAATTAATATAAGACCAAGGAATAGAACAAGAAAAGCAAGTACTGCTAAACCGGCTGCAGCTAGTTTAACTATAGCAGGAAGTTTTCCTGTGAGTAAAGCTGTAAGAAATACAACAATACCAAGTAAAATTAATGCAAAAATTTCAAAAAAGATAACCCAATTCCAATAACTATGTCGTCGACAATGACATTCATACCGTGAAATTAACTGTTTGGAACAAGTAAGAAGCGCACCACGAAGAGTTGATGTCTGAGATAAACAATAATCTAAATGTTCATCACCTTCATCAAGTCTTGGAAAACGTGTACTTGCTAAAATATCAACTTGTTCATCATTATTACCATAAACTTTAACTTCACGTGAGAATAAACCATAATTTTGATGAAGTTGACTATCTTCATAAACTTTTGCTTGATGATCATGAAGATCCGGTAATACGATTGAATGAAGATCTGTTTTTTGCCATTTCCAATGATAAGAGATCACAGCGAATAATTGAAGTAGAAAAGCAGCTATAGCCAATAGTAAAGCAAGAATATCTAATAAACGAACAAGATTTTTAGTCTTGACTGGATCCACAGGACCTTTTACTTTTGGTGCTTTTTTAGTAGCAGTTGCTTTATCCTTAGTTTTCTTAGCCATCGATGGTGGTGGTTATGATAGTGTTTTTTTGTTGGTAGTGTCTCTTTATGATGTGGTAAAAGTGACGATGGTTACAATAGTAGAAATGCTTCAATCAACGCTCTATTAGCATCAAAGTGTCATCAACGTTGTCGCTTGTTTTCTTTGCCTAGTAGGAAAAGGATAGAAAAGAATGTGTTTATGTGAGTGTGAGAGAGAGAGAGAGAGAGAAAAACGGGTGCACACTTCAATTTAATACCATATCTTTATCATCATACATCGCTCATTTTCTTTCCTTTACCCTTTTCTTTGCTATATACATGCAGCATATACATACACAAAATATAAATCTGACCACATACATATAATTATATCAGGGACGTTATTGAGAAAAAAAAAGAATGCAAATAGGTAGCAAATGGAAAAAAACGATAAAATTATGATTATCGGTATTCTATATCATTGATTACTTTCTTTTTTTTTCTTTTTTAGGTGAGCGGTGACTATAAACAATAAACATAGACTGTCTTTTATTTGCTCTTTTTTTTCTTTCCCCTTTCATCAACATAAAATCGTTGTTTTTTTTTTTTTTTTTTTGTATGATAAGTCGCTTCTTTGCCTTCAACCTGTCCTCAATTGTATATTCGATGAAAAGAGTTACCAATCTATATATGAATCTATTTATTCTTTATTAAATACTTTACCAAATACTATCTATCATTTTTTCGTCACGAGGCATATCTTACAATCTATCTATTTGAAGTAGACAGTCGTTTATCTATTCTTTTCTTTCTTCTTTTCTGTCATTATTATTTGCAATCAACGATATATCATATATATATAAATATATATATATAAACTAGAAAGATAAATATTCATCACTGCCACCTACGCAAAAACATCTATTTGTAAGAGAATATTTATGGCTATTTCTATGCACTTACACAAGCTCACCTTACTCACATGTTACTCTATGCTGCAGTTACCTATGAAAAAAAAACAAAAAACGAACGTCATATCTTCATATGATTGTATTCTCTGGAGTGATCATTACCATCATTCAAAAAAATACCTATATCAATGGGTACTAGACATTGTTTTGTTTTTTGTTTAGATGTCAGAACAATAATAATTTAACATGGCTAAAATAGCTACAAAAAAAAAAAAAATAAATTTTGTATGATTGTATTTTGAGCTATATTGAAAGTCAATGTATCGGTTGGATAATTAACCGTTAAAATTCAGATAAACTTTTAGTTAAGTAAAGCTAAAATTAGAATATTAATTTATTTATCATTGTACTATCATATAAATATCAGAATGTATTTTGTAAATAAGTATTTATTATATGAAATGTAATGCAATGTTTTATAAAAAAATATTTTCATACATGATACATTATAATGTTGATGAATACATTAAATAGCAATCAATCTTCATAAAAAACAGCTTAACCAATCAAAAAAGTTAATATTAAGAAAAAAAGGGTATACTTTCTTCACATTTGGTGAGACCTGACATTTGAAGCTATTCATTATGACATAAATTTTACAATAAGAAGAAAAATAAAAACATAATCATTAGAAAAATGATAGCTATTTTTCAACTAGGCAATACACTATGTATTGGATTTTTTTAAAATAAAATATCTATCGAACATTAGCAACTTAATAAGTCTAATCAAATTGATCAATAATTTCTACATGATACTCGGAGTTGTTATTTGCATATTCGTGAAATGTTTTATTTTTTCTATCAACAGATTTAATTCTAGACGAATAAGGGTTATCCCTTGATGCTTGTAAATTACTATTTTATCAAAAACAACTATGAGAACAAAAAATATTTACTTGACACCTAGGAAAAAGAATACTGATATACATTACTGTTTTCTGTCAAAAAATGGTGGTATGTTTTAATTAATTTCATATTAGTTTGTTATGATTAAGAGAGATTAGAAATGAATTAAACCAATTTTACAGACTTAAATAGAGATGGAAAAAAAAAAGACCATGGTTCAGCTAATTTAAATCTTGCAACTTCACATTGCATTACGTTCGATCTATGATTAAGTAAAAGTAAGATTAACAGTTTTATATCAATCAACAATAAAATAATAAACATGTTATATCATAAGTATTTTTGTTTTTATTTTTCATATAAATTATTATGCAAATCAAATTGTTTATCTCAATGAAGATATATTATTAAATTTCGTCTTTTTTTTTTTTTTTCTTTCAAATACAAATATATAGTTACAATAGTTTTCAATCATTAAGAACATTATTTATAGAAATATAAGATGAACGAAGTCTTTCATTAAAAACTTGTTAACGAATTATCGAGATTATACGTATAATTCATAGCCAGGTTATATTACCATTTTGTTTTGTCTATTTTAACTGAATTCTTTTCTGATAGAAAAAACAAGTACGATTGACGTTTGAAATAATAAGGGATAGAGGTCCTTAGATAAACGAACTATGACTTGTTTTTTTTTCATTGTCAATCCTTTGGCGCATTTATTTTTCCATAAGATATGCAATTAAATCTAAAGTTTATTCAAACCAAATAGAGAATAAGACAAATTTGACATGAATTTAAGCAGGAACCAACTAGTAAAATTTTTATACAGAAATAATATCTGATTAAAACGAAAGAAATCCAAACTCAAATGATGATATTTTTTGCTTTGTTGTAGAACAATTTTGCAGCAGCTCTGCAATTAATGATTTTAAAATACTGTATCTTTTTCTGAAAAGTATCGAAAAAAGGAAAATTTTCTCCATAATTTACTTTTGAAATAATTCTCATAAATTTTTTTTTTTTGTAAATATTTCGACGCCGCATTTTTTAGAAAACAAATCAGATCAAATGATTAATAAGACAACATGTTAAAGTCAAAATACTGAGAAGATCATACTTACTAAAGCCCATTCGTTATGAATAGACAATATCCAACGAAAAGTGTATACTTGAAACATCTAATCTTATTGACACAAATCAAAAACGACTTTTCATTACTGCGCAACCCAATGTCTATCATAGGAATTTTTTTTATGACAACTCCAAGCGAAGCGTAATTTATTATAAATTGAAAAAGACAATGTATAATAACAAAAATGACAATTTCTATGGAGAACAATAATTTTGAATTTAGTATCATAAATTAATTATGTTCTGAATTAACAAACATAACGGACGTCTCAAGAAGAATCAGCCTCTCTATGTATTTTAATGATATCTTGTTTTATATCCATTTTTTCAGACTTTAGTTTTTCTTAAAGATTTATCTCTTAATTCTCTATAAAACCATATAATTCTTATTAATGTAGATTAAATCTGTAAGTTTACAAGACACATGTCAAACATGAACAATTTTGTAAAAAAAAAAATTATAAAAATATTTTTTTGCATCACTCTGTTTTTGTATTACTGCTTCTTTTAGTATAATTGATAAAATCTACAAATTTATCTCAAATTGAATGCTTCAATGTATTTCATTGTGGACAATACGATGGTCAATCGTTCGATACAATGAAAGAGACGAAATAGACTTGGTTGTACTGTTGTGTGAATCGGTAAATGGGAAGCTTCGCACTACCATCTGATATTATGTTTGATCTTATGCCGGTGATCATTTTCGATAAAAGAACATTAAATTACACTCAATATATCCAGAATGTTGTTTCAATACTACTAAAATATAAAAATAAGATCTTCAGAACAGACTAGACATTTCAGCAGACAGTAATGCGAAGCTGTAGGTTCATCAACTCACGTAACAGTGATACCAAAATAACTTTCGCTCTCTCATCGTCAAGAACTACCGATTGCCACATAGTTCACATTTAAATTGATTGAACCATTCAATTTGAGACAAATTTGTAGGTTTCATCAAGTATGTTGAAAGAAGCTATCATACAAAAACTGTATGATGTAATCGAAATAATTTCATAATAAAATTCTTCACGTTTGACTGTTTGTTTGATATGTGTCTTATAAAACGACGGATGTAATTTACATTACTAGGAAACATACCGTTTTGTAAACAATTAAAAGAGATGTCATTAAAATACAGAGAGGTCTATTCTTCATGAAACATCCATCAGAACATATTCTTAAAAAACATCAAATTTGACAAATGATAATTTACCAAAAACTACCAACTTTTCTTTTTTAAGCAGAATTGGTTTAAACTTTCCATTTACAGTCTTTCAGTGTTATGTACAAGTTAAAACCTAAGAATATGGAAGATATCAGTGAGAATAATTTTATTAACTTACAATTTTAGATCTTAACCGATAAATAAAACAAAGAGAATTGATCTAAACAGAACAAGAAATAGAACTTGTCCAAGTCGATTCGAGCTGTTAAAAAATTAGAATAATAGATTGAAATGAAAAAAACAATGAGCAAAAACCCAATTGAATTCTTTCGATTTGACGAATATAAAAAATCCTAATAGTTACAATTGTAATTGACTTGATGCATATATTTGGCATTAAAGTCTTTTAGAGAAAATTCGAAAACTATTCATATGAAAATCAACCATTGAACAAAATCATTAATTGCAATCAACCTCAAAATTGAATCTCATCGAAATAGTTTTGTATTAAATTGTAAAATAATTCATTTGTGAACAAAGAAAAATATCTTTTAATAACATATAGGTATTACCATTGCATCACTGTTTCTTTTAATCTGTGTTGATAAATACTAATTTTTTTTTCTCGAATAATAGCAAACACTATCACCAATAGTAAATCTAAGATAATATTTTAATAAAAATGTTACTTCAATTAGATTACATCTGCATCAATCAAACTAAGAGAATGATTTATAATACATCATTTATCATAACAATAATCGAAATCAAAAATCAGTATTAACTTGATCTCACAATTCGGATATATGTTATATTAGCAGTTTATTTTTAAATTAAAGTTTAAAGTGTCAGATTAATTTTAATAGTTAAATTTTCACCACAAGTCAGAACATTTAAGTGAAATGAAGACTCTCGAGCAAACGATTATTCTCTTCAATGTTGAGAAATTTTTAATTTTACACAGCAAAGTTACAACGTTTCATTTGTTTCTTGTTCACTAATTCTAGAAGACTCGCTCTACAAATCCTATTGTTAAATCCTTGCGACGAGCTATCGTCTATATTGGTAGTCTAAACTATAAGTAATACATTATTTTAAAAAATATTTTGATAGAGTGCTTATTTCAAGTTTAAAATTAAAATGTCATCCGGCGTTTACACACAATTAGTCAAACATAGAAACCACATTTTCCCCAGTCAATAGTTTTATTTCATTTTTTCAATCTTTACCAATCATAAGTCAAGCAAAGAAAAGAAATGTCATTTTTTTACAAACAAAAACTCTCATCTAGAAAATGTTTTAGGGCGAAAAAAAAGCATACTCAACAAAGATATTTTTCCAAGATTAAATTTACTAGAAATTATTCAATTCTCTGACTGTATCGTATGTCCTTGATGAAGTCTCATAAGTCTATGTCTATTAGTCAATTTATCAATCCAATCAATAATTATAATCATTCCTCTCTCATGATGGTTCATGCAAAATTAATTTTCTCATGTATTAGTAATCAATCATCATTTTCTTTGTATCTTTAATAGAAAAAAATAATAAGATTATTCATATTATTCTTATTTATTTTATCAAAAATTTTGTAAACATATGTCATTGATACAAAGCATTGTTCTTCGCCATTCCTCAGCTGTTACTGTTGAAAGAAAACAAAGAAAAAGAAGAAAAAAAAAACTTGTTTATTCTTTTCTCTTTCCGTCATTGCTTTTCGTTCGTTTGATCGCATGGTGCAATCATTTTGACAAAAAAAAGAAAAAAAAGACAATATTTTTCTTTTTTTCTTTTAAGATATTTATTTCCGGTCAATGTTGGACTTATTATTATCAATATGATCCAACAACCAGACCATTTATTATTATTATTATTATTTATTAAATATTTCTAATCATTTTTTGTTCTTTCTATAAATACAATCGCAGACAATGAGTGCACCTTGTAGTCTTGAACATTGTCATACAAATCTTTTTGCTCTGGTAAAATTTTCAAATAATAAATTTCTATTTGTTAAATTTTATTTTCATTTAGCAAAGTTTAAATGATATGAAATGGAAATGTTTTCGTCGTTCATTAAATTATCGTTTAGAAGTAAATCATTATAAAGATCCTGTTTTAATTGCTTATTGGAATGCATTACGTACTGATACATTATGCGCATGGAGACGTGTTTTAACAGATGATGGACAAAAAACTGAAAAAGAACTTTGGTTATTTGGAATAAATGAAGATTTACCATCGGAATTACCTAATTTAAGACGTAAGAGAATTTTTATAATAAAACAAAAACAAATAAACAAAAATTTTCTTTTTCAGCAATTAATCAAGCAAATGGGTCATGGAGTGAAAATGCTTTATCTTATGATTGTCGATCAATGTTATTTAAAGCCTTACACAATATGATTGAAAAGTAAGATAATTAAAACCAAAAAAACACAAGAACAAGATTAAATCGCAAATGTTGTTTTTGTTTTAATTAGATATTTATTATCAAAAGGTTTTGCTCGATTAAATAAATGGTTTGTTTTACCAATAAATGATCATTCCGATGTTAAAGTGCCAAATTTTTCATTTAATTTCAATTTTTTTCTTCATGGAGATAATAAAGTATGTGCAAGTGTTGACGTACAACGTCATCGATATATTTATAATTTAACAAGTAAAGATCTCGAAAAAACTTCACCATCAAATGGTAACAAAAAAAAAAATCTTTTTCTTTTTTTGATTTTTTTTAAAATTCCAAAATTTTTCTTTGTGTTTTAGTTATCTTAGCACCATATGGTATTAATGGAATGCTTACTGGTCATGTTAGTAGAGATATTGATTTAAATATATTACGAGAAAATTGGGAAAGAAATTATCCTGTTCGACATATTGATGGTTTACCAGATTTTGTTGAAGTTACTGCTGGTATGTTTTAATTATCAGACGTATGAAATACTGAACAGTTGTAGAAGTTAAATCTGAGTTCATCAGGAATTTAAAGACATATTTCTATGAATAAAAAGTTACTCGTGACCACTTTTGAATTGTCTATCGAAAGAATAAGACTTTAAATTAGCACTCTTTAGTGTATGTCAACTTATTTTAATTGAGGTTTAATGTACTTGTCAGAGATAACAAAGAACGTCATCTAGTAATTAAAATGAAAAATGTACTTCGATAAAGTTGCTTTATATTATCGATAGATAGATATTTTCAATATGATGAACTATAGAATAAAATTGCCTAGGGACTGAAGCATAACAAATATGTAACACTAAAGTATTGAACGACTGTAGTCAAAAGAAATCAATTGCATATTTTGTTAACGAATTTCATTAATCAGTCAATAATGACGAAAGTGAGATACAAGCGATATTTTGTTTCGCGAATACGTACTAAAATTATTCATTTCGACGGCATGCGAATGACCATTTCTCAGTTGTGATTAATGCATTACGCTCAATAACTGTAGACAAGCTTCTTAGTCATGTGTTACAGTATTGTTTAGAAAAATAAGATAAGTATATTTTGATTTCTACGATACCAAACATTTAACTGAACTGAAAAACGACACACAATAGTCTTCATATCTCAAAAAACATAAAAGGAGATGTTGTCGCATTTTCTACGGTGTTCGCTTTAAAAGTTAGAAGCATTAGAAAACAAAAGTGTTTTTTGCTATGCTGTGATAAATTTCACTTTTTGTTATGCTGATTTGCTTGTTAAGAGAATATCTTAGAAAATGCGATGACGCCTCATTTTATTCAGAATTTTGTGCTATTCAGAAAAGTATTCATTTAAATTAAGTTTTCATCGAGTCTTCTGTGATCTGAGAACTACTGTATTTTGTGTCTTCCTCTCATAGTCCATCTATGCAATGCATATAATAGAGAACTTCGTTGAGTTTGTTTTCTGACTTACAAAGTAATCATTGAGTAGTCAACCAGGTATTTTAACATGATTGTCTATATTTCGTTTTTTTTTCTCTCCTTAAAAAGGTAATATTCGAATGTTTTATCCAACATGTTATGTATATAAAATTGCTTCAAATAATGATCCATCTTCAAGTAATGAAACAACTCCTCCAAATAAAAAAACAGATTTATCTTCAACAAAAAAATCGAAAACACCAACATCATCAAATATTCAATCAACACCTCCACCACCACCACCACCACCTCCAACAACAACAACGACAACATCATCAATCAATACACGATTAGATTTATTATCAAATAATAATAAAAATGAAAATATTCTTATTAAAAATTTAGCTAATCAATTATTAATCAGTGCACAAAGAAATAATTGTATTGATATTGAGAAAAGGTATGTTCTATAGATATTCATAATTTTAATAAATCATATATTTGTTGTTAATTTTTAAGACAAGAAAATAAATGTTTATCAATAAGTGATCCAATGAATCGTCGTATATGTCGATGTCATCAATGTTTAACATCAGCAACTCGTTTATCGACATTCATTCCATTTCATCGCCGTCCTTGTACAACTCCACCTGTTCTAACAGATCCGTCCTCAATTCGAACAAAAATTGAACCAATTAAAACTGAAAATACATCTGAATCAAATGAAAATACAAACACATTAACACAAAATGATGTTTTAGTATTACAATCAACATCATCACCAACAGTAAATAATCCTATATTATCAAACCCACCAACAACAAATGATAAAACAACTGAATGGTCAGCACCAACACCAAGTAGTGTTAGTATAAGTGGACCACCATCTGTACTTGCACCAATAACAAATTTAAATTCTATACAAACAAATTCACCTGTACCTAACTCAACATCATCAAGGGGTTTAAAACGTTCAGCTACAATGGCTTTCGATGATTTATCAATAATTGAAGATGATGAACGAGAGCAACATAAACAAACATATGATTTTCAACGAACAGATACTTTTTTACAATTACCATTAAAACGTTTTCGTCCTGATCCAAATACAATTATAAATAATATACAATCATCATTAACAATAAATAATTCATCAACATTAATAATAACTGATCATGTTTATCGACATGGTCAACCAACACCACCAAGTCCTAGTCATTTATTATCTCGAACAGATCCATATGAATTTGGTGATGATGAAGATTCAATATCACGAAATATATATCCACCATCAACACCAACAAATAATATTCGTCAAAATCAAACATCATTTAATACAATTGATGGACCATCAATTACAGATCTTGATACAATTATTGATTCACATGATACAAATGAAAATAAAAATACGAATTCAAATGTTCTTTCACATATTCTTTCTAATGGTGGTGTTAAATCACCTATGCGTAAAGATAATTCACTTATACATCCTATTTTACCACCACCACCACCTCCTTCAACAAACTTATCAATACCTAATGGTAATACATTTCCTGTTAATAAATCACTTAATGGAGGTAAGTTTATAAAAAAATAAAGAAGTTAATTAGATCGATTTTTTGGAAAGAAATATCTTTCAGAATCATAATTACAATGCTAATTAGAAGTCATTTTCCTAAGTAGAATGAAATTGTAGAAGATTACTAACACTATATACACTTTGTATTGTTTGTTAACTCAAAAATAAGTTTTCATCGGCAAACGAACAAATGCCCTTGGTACATAGACACCTCGTGATATTCGAATTTTCCGGTACTTATTGTATATCGTAAAGTGCTCGCAATTGGATATAACATCAGAGTTTTTCTTTTCTTTCTGTCTAATGGGTAGATGCAGGGCATTGAGTTGAATATGAGAAAAAAAAATATTTCATGGTAAATGTCTAAGAAAATTTGCTTTTTTACTTTAAAACATTGTTTTACTTTTGTGATTCGATAATGATTTTGTGAAATTTCGGCACTTGTGTTCAATTTCCGCCGGAAGCTCTCCAATAAAAAAAAGATTGTTCAAAAAAATTGCGGTTTACTGATGAGTCGCAGTGGAATGAAGTGAGAATATTAGTGAAACTCTGTGATTTTGACAATGTGCCTTATTTCCGCTGAGTTTTTGACAATAAAAAGATTGTCGAAATTCAGGTCGCGAAATTCTTGTCAAATCTCAATGATTTCTATCCAGTCATCATACAGAAAGAAAAAAAACTCTCTTCTGTAATTTTGAATTGCGAATACTTTACATTTACTGTTAATACCTTACAATTTAAATCAGAAGCCTTCATGGATCAAAGAAAGCTGATCCACTTGTTACTTATGTAATTGCATAACCTATCCATGAGCAAGCATTTTTCTAGTATGAGTACTTGATATATAATTCAATCTTCGGTAACATATATGAACTCTTGAATTTACAAGTGTTTGGTAACTTTTTACTAGGAAAACCATAAAATTTCCAATATAACGATATATTTGTTTTCTTTCCACTTTTAATAATATCATCTATCGGTGATTGTTATTTCAAAAGAAATTTGATTCGTTTGAATGTATACTGTTTCGTATGTGATTATGAACTAATACCATTAATTAAAGAAAAAGTTTTACAATAATTAATGAAAATACTGTAATTAAGGCGAGCCAGATAATAATATTGTTTTTTAATAAAAAGTTTTTTAAGATTGTTTTACCTTCATTGTGAGAATTGAAGTTATGCTAATTAAGTAAGAATTAATAATTATTTTGAATAATTAATCAGCTATTCATGATAATAATTTTTGATTGTGTTTTAAAATATTTCTATTAAATTCATCTTTTTATTCGTTAGAAATTTTTTTTTTTCTGTTTCTTCAATAGTTTTTCATGAATTAGAGCAAATTTATAATACACCACCTGGTTCATCATCATCTGAAAAACTTCAAGCATTACATTCACCATATGCTATTATGGTTGATAGTGTTAGTAGTGCAGCAACAACACTTGATATGCTTAATCAATTTAGTCAAGAATCCATTATAGCTCCATTTGAATCAATAACTGTTGATGATCATTCATCATATCATCCATTAAAAAAAACTTTATTAACAAAACCAATAAAACGTTATGAACCATCAAAATCATTTTCTATATCAATATCATCTCATCATAAACCTTTAAAACATTGGAAACGAACATTAACAATAAATGATTATTCTTCAAGTCCATTTAATAATCAACAAATAATTCGACAACAACCAACACCACGTTCATCCGATATACGTAATACATCAATGTCAATATCAAATGTTCCAACACCAACAATGTATTCTCCAATGAATAATAATCCATCAATACGTTCAACAGATTTACAATCATCACCATTTCCAATACGTTCTGTTGGTAGTGTACAAGCTTTAAATAGTCCAACACCTTATACACAATCAACAATAATAAATCAACCTGAAGTTGATTCATTATTATTTAATGTTTTACTTAATGATAGTATTTTAAATTTTTTTCGTGATATGAATTTTGATTCATGTGTATTATGTGCATGTACACCAAATGAATTAAATATACGTGGTATTGATTCAACAATTTATTTAGAAAAACCAAGAGATTTTCTTAAATCATCAATATCAACAACAAGTGGACAAAATCCAACAACACATTCACCATATCATCCACATATGTATTCACATCAATCTTCATATCATATTCATCCACATTCAGCAGTATATGCTCAACAGCAACAGCAACAACAACAACATGTCATTCCATCAACAAATAATAATAATAATAATAATAATTCATGTTCATGTGGTTTTTCTGCTGTTGTTAATTTACGTTTAAGCTATTTATCAGGTTTATTTTATGAAGATGAAATTGAAATAACAGGAATAAAAGCTGATTTAAAATATCGTACATCAAATGATCAAGTACCTGTTAATTTATTAGAATTAATTGAACGTAAAGAATGTTTACCATCACCATTTGATTATTGTTTTAATAAAAATATTCAAACATCATTGATAAATAGAAAAAATGATCAAGATATTTCACAAACATTAAAACAACCTGTTTATCAATGTAAGTTTTAAAAAAAAAAAAAAAAACTTTATTTTCATCTCATAGATAACTCACATGTTATTCAAACCGAACAAAAAAACGACTAGTATATATCCATAGCTGTTTTCCTATCGGTATACCGATGGTAATAAAAATAAGTGTACGACATAAGAAAGAGAATGATTTATAACTGTCTTTCATTTGCATATGCATAAAAATTTTCGTTCTACATTACAGCAATAAGAAAGGTAAATAAGGACGAATATAACGTTCGCTTTAAAACAAACAAAAATATAGTGCGACGTAAAAATCAATTTGATGAAATGCATGAATAGAATATTCTGTATGATAAATTGAGATGCACCAATTGACCTTGAAAATGATATTTTTTTATATTTTGAATTTTATTGAGAAGTTGAAGGAGATATAGTGTAGAATAGTAAATTGATATGCTTTTGGAGATAGACTAAGGATACATCAGGAGCTCTTAAGGATATATATCTAACTCTCGACGAGGGTACAATCGATTTAATTGAAATTTCTAGCATAGAGTACTTAAGATAAGGAGATAAGTGTTCGGGAAAAAAATTTTCAATCAGATTGTCTATAGGGTTGCATCTTGGTACATTACGACTCCCATCAGACTTTTGGTTCAAAGTTTTTTCGACATACCAGAGACTATATCTCAGAGGTATTTTAGAAAGTTTTCGACAATATTATTTAAATCAAGAAGTGAAGAATGAAAACGACTAATCTTATATCTGGAGGATACTTTCAAGTATATGTAGTATAAATTTCAATCGAATCGGACAAAACTAAGATCATAGTAAGCTATTTAGAATTGAATAATGTTTCTTAATAGCATATGTCACTTGAAGCTATCATACTTAATGTTCAACTTGAAATTGAATTTTTTGTCAAAAAAGACATGATGAAGAGTACCCATTAAATTTACGACTCTGAAACAGTCGATCGTCGTTTATACTGGATAAAATATAGTGCTATGAGAGATTTTGAATAATTAAAAAAATATATCTATTTCAGGTTATAAAAACAAGTTTAATAAACTTAATTTCTATATATATATATATTTAGTTGAAAATTTGGCATGTCGTGCAGCAATTGAACAATCTCGAAATATTGTAAACAGTTCAACTACTGATGATCTTGACAAACATCATTGGTTACATCAATGGTCATATTCCACATGTAAGAAAAATTAATTATAACAAAATTTAAATCAAAAACCATATATATGTTCTTTTATATTGAATTTTTTTTAGCTCCACTTGATTCTGATCAACAATTAATAACTATGTTACGTTCATTACAACCATTATTAGTTGAAGCATTAAAAAAACGTAATGTTAATGGTTTATGGAGTACAATAGATGGTCCATTAACATGGAAATCTTTTCATCAATTATTATATGTACAAAATCAACATGTACAACTTGAAGAACAAATAAGTGGACCACAACCAATTCCATATCTTCTTGCTGGTCTTGATCGTGAATGGGTTATGTTAGCACCATATAGTTTAAAATTTTGGGATAAATTATGTCTTGAACCATATTCAAAAAATAAAGATATTGCTTATGTATGTGTTGTACCGGATAATGATTATATATGTTCAATGACAAAAATTTATTTTCGTGAATTATCAACACATTATGAATTATGTCGATTAGGTTTACATAGACCTTTATTAAAAGCATTTTCTGATCAAGGTCTTTTACGTATATCTCAAAATACAAATGATTCAATACAACTTCCAAATGTTGATCAATGGTTTACAGATCATGAAACAACACATCCACTTGGAACACGATTAAAACTTTATGCTCAAACAATTAAAGGACAACTTTGTAAGTTGATTAAGAACTTTCTTTATTTTCTTTTTCAAAAGATTTCAACAATCTAGAAATTTTAAAATTATAACAAGAAAAAGTTCTTCAAGTAGCTTCATCTTAGATTTAGTTGAAATATTTATTTTGGTCGTAATAGTTATTGACTTTTCGTAATAGCCTATTTTACGAAATAAACATCAGCGTTTGAAGTTTTATTTTTATTTTGAAGTAACATATGTAAACCTACCGTCATTTCTCTAAATACAATATCAATCTTAAAGATAGTTGTTGTAACTGATAAAATGTGATAATATTGTAACTATTTAAAACTTAATTTTAGCATTTTCTTCTTTGTTCATTTATTCTTAACTTAATAACTACTATAAGAAAAACCTCAAAGTCATATTTGTTTCTATAAAAATAAATTCTTCCATTATTTTTTTTTTCTAGTCAATCTTTTGTCAACTCAACCATTTGATAATACATTATTAGAAGAAGGTACATCACGTCGTGATGTATTTCGTACTCCTAATGATGTTTCAAATCCATCATCTTCACTTGATCTACATTCATCAAGTAATGATTTAACAAATAGTGGTTATGCTCTTTCACCACCATCATCATCATCGACAACAACAACAGCAACAACAATACCAACAACGAATAATCTCATAGCAAATAATATTTATACAACAGGATCGCCAGCTACTGATGTTTTAAGTTTATCATCAAATAATAATTCATCATTAACTAATGGTACATTTGTTAATGGTCATCAAGTTGATCCAATTGATTTACAAGCATTTGAATCATTTCATCAAGGTCGAACATCAAATGATGATCAATTTTTTATTGTTATCTATCTTATTGATACATTTCGATATGAAATAACAGCATCAATGACTGACGAGAATGGAAATAATAATACATCAATTGATGATAGAATTGATGCATATGTTAAAAAAGCTATTTTTCGTGCCTATATGGATCTTATTAAAGATTTACCAGAAAAAATTTCAATTCGAGTTAATATACAGGTTAATAGAATGAAAGAAAAATTTGATTTTGAATGCAAAAAAGAAAACACAAATAATTTTTTTCTTGTTGTTTCTCTCTCTTTAGCTTATTCCATTTGAAGCAATAGTTAATCAACAAGTTGAATCTGATTCCGAATTACGTTTAACTCAATTAAAACGTTTAGCATTTAATGTATATGGACAATTGAAACGAACAGTTTCTTATACAACACGTGCAAAATCTTTAACTGGTTTTGGTCCAGCTGCATCTGAAGAAAAAATGCCAGCAAAAATTGTAAAGAAATAATTAAATTGTATGTTTTAATATTCTTTTTTCATTTGTTTATGTTTAGGTTATGCAACTTTATACACCAGCATATATACTTTCACCGAAATCAGATTTTCGTTTTAAAGCTTTTGCTGATATAACAGAACAGACAAATATAAATGGAAGTATTTTATTTTGTTCATATTGTTTATCAGATGATCAACGATATTTATTAGCTTCATGTTCAGATGATAGAGGAGAATTATTAGAAACTTGTTCATTTAATATTGAAGTGCCTGATAGGTATGTTAAGATTTAAAATCAATTAAATTATATACATCAAGTGGAGAAAAAAGAAATTTAGAACTGAAGTTTTTTTTGACTTGTTTTTTTTTCCGTAACGATAACAGCTAAAATAAATCAGAGAAAAGATTCGATTAACGGAAACAATTTTTGTATCAGAAGAATTAATTATCAAGTTCCCAATAACAGGTTTGGTGCATATGTTTCTAGAAAACAAAGCCTCTCAAAATCAGTTTTCTAGACTTTATCGAAAAAGCTTATACGCAGAAGTTCATCGACTGAAGAAAAGATTTCTGAACAAAATAAAATGTTTTCAAGCTCTAATGAGTGCAGTTTGTTGATAATAGGTCATGGAGAGCTCGGAAAAATCTTATTTTGTTCAAAAATTTTTACTTTATTAGCTATATTCTTTTGCAAAACTGCTTTTAGAAGTCTTGATTTTCTAGAGACTTGCAACGCATACCTGTTAATTGGAATTTGACAAATACTTCTTCTGATACGAAAATTGTCTCAGTTGATCAAATCTTTTCTTTGATTTGTTCTAGCTATTACTGTTAAGGAAAAAAATCAATAATACTTTTTTTTCTAGACTTTTTGAGTGTACCTTATATATATATATGTTGATTATTTTATATATAGACATAGAAGAAAAGTACAACATGCAAGACGTATTGGTTTACAAAAAGTATGGGATTTTATTATGCGTGTTGTTACAAGTACAACAATGCCATGGAGAATTGTTATTGGACGATTAGGAAGACTTGGACATGGAGAATTAAAAAGTAAAAATTAAATTACATTTTAAAAGAAAATATTTTTTTAAAATATTTTTGTTTTTAGGTTGGGGAATAATTTTATCGAAAAAAAATCTTGTTCGTTGTGCAACATTAATACGAGATTCATGTTCAATGTGTCATATATTACGTTGTCATGATCAACCAGTTATTTTATCAGCATGTTTAATATCTATGGAAACACATCCATCATTAACAGTTCTACCAGAATCACTTGAACTTGGAGAAATACGTGGAACACAAGCACCTAATAATAATGCAACAACAATGCAAAATGGTGGTCAAGTATTAGATGATATTTCTGTTACACATATTCTTACATTACCAACATCAGCATCTGTGCAAGTAAGAGAATAAATTATAATATAGAAATGAATTATCGATATTGAGAATTCATTTTCGCTTTTATGTTAACATATTTGTTAAGAATTTGAAATGTGATTTTTAGAAATATGGTTGAGGCTTAGAAGTTAAAGCATTTGTTTTCTGTATTATGCCATTGATATCTAAGAGATCTCGAAATGAGTTACTTAATCCGATCGATCTCAGGCGTTAGATGAATTTAAATTTTTGTTGAATCTTGCGGTCTAAATTTTATTTCTTTCATCGAAAAAAGATTTAGCAAACAAAAAAAAACTTTACTTTTACGATTCAATATGAAATTTGATTTAAATCTGATGTTGTTTTAATAAGCATTTAAATTATTTGATAATATTTAACTTTTGATTATCATGAAGATAAACTTTTTACAATGTTCTAATACTTTATTCAAGTGATCATTGAGTTCTATAATGGAGATTTTTTTTTTTTGTAACAGAAACTTAATTATGATGATTGTCATAGAGTAAAGGTTGAAAATGAATCGATTTCGAGAAAAAAATCTTTAAATTTATTTTTATTCTGTATTTATGAAAGATTATTTTAAATTTCATTGATTTTTAGCATGTTCAAACAATGCCTCGACCTAATGATCATCGTTCAACTGTTGATAATGAAGATGATTTATTTAGTAAATTATTTGAAGATCTTGATCCTGAAGGTCCACCTAATGAAGCTTTCGATAATATAACATCTCCAACACCAGTTGACTTAGAATTTTCATCAAATTATGCTGATATGAATCATAATGGTAATACACATGGTTTATCAACAGGTCAACATAATCGTTTAGGTAATTCTTCTAATGCTCATAATGATTATCATAATAATCATCCATATGGAAATTCTTCTAATGGTACAAATCTTAAATCAAATTCTTATCAACATTTTGAATATGAAATCGATATGAATGATAATCCATCTTTACATCAACAACCATTAGCACTTGGTTTTTATGTTTCAACAATCGGTACATTAAATCCATTACCATTATGGATGTTACATGGAAAATTTCATCAACGAACAAATAATTCTTGTAGTGTATTTAAAGCAACATTACATGTTAGTGTACCGAATGCTCAACATTCAGATGATATGTTATTTGCTCAAAGTAATGATCAAAAATTAACTCATCCATTAGATTCAAATTATACATATGTTGTACTCAGGTAAAATTTTTAATTATTTTTCTTTTTTCTCAAATACGATCTAAAAGAAATATTTGAGGTTTAAAGTTAGATATTTGAACGCTCTCCTCCAACATCACAGATCGTACATTAATAACATCTTATTATAATATATGAGCTACTTTCCTATTACATTTCTAGAGAATTAAATAAAAGGATATCGAAGAAATGTATCCTAAAATAGATAGAATAAAACAATCTTCTCATGATTAGCAAGGACAGTTATATCTTGTTTTATATTTTAATCTACACAAATTGTGTTAGCAAGTTTTTCTTTGTATTCTGAAAACTCTTAATATTTGTTCTTGTATTTTTTTTTTTTTAGATACGTTCTTGAATCTTATAATCGTCTATCATGGCTACTAATTGATGCAAAAACTAATGAACGTGCCAGTTGTTTACCAATTCATATCGAAACATTATTAAGATTATATCATGCCTTTGTCAAATTTGTATGATATTAGATTTATTATTGCACGTTTGTTGTTTCATGCAATGTTGTTATTATGTTTTGTTCTTCTTTCTTTTGGTTTTTTTTTGTTCTTTTTTTCTGTGTCTTTTCTTTTTGTAGCCATATTGGCACGTCGGCGCAATCTTTATTTGTTTCTATTCTATAACAGTAACCTTGTTTCTTCGAATTTGTCTGTCAGACAACGAAGAAAACCTATATATGTGTATGTGAATTAGACCACTCATATCTTTTTTTTTCTGTGTGTGTATTTTGCGCTCAGTTTTTCTCGCAAAAATAAATACATTCATGTGCGTTGTTGTCTAACTTTAAAAATCTGATCTGATACGTCTATATTACCTTGTACTTCTTTATATACAAGAGAAGAAAAAAAAACAGATGACTCGCACTTGATTTCTCGTTCTTTGTACAGGTGTATATTTATTTTTAGTGTGAGCGTTTCTACGAAGCTTGTCTCTTGTTCTTTCTCTCTGTCTCTCTCTCACTATATATATATATATATATAACTATTTTCGTTTTTCTTGTCTTTTGCAATGTTCTTTATTGGTTTGTTTCATTTCGGATGGTGAACATGCAAAAGCAGCGATCTTTTTTTTATATGAACTTTACTTCCGAAGGTCCATCTTTCCTATGACGATTATTCATATTAGACAAATATATAAAAACTATCGTTTAAAAACAATGAAATAGACTACCGATATATACAATCGAACCAAACACATCTGTTTCTGTCATTCTCTTTTTTGTTAGTTTTTTTTTTTTTTCGTTTTTTTTTCTGCGCGTGCGTAGTAAATCATGTAAACCCATACAAACATAAACTCACACTACAAATAAAAGAACGAATAGCAATTATTGAATCGTATAAAAACGATTATTGATTATTTCATTAATACATTTTGAATTAGAAATAATATTTAAGAATATGATATGATCTGTAAAGTCCATAAAAGTTTAAGAGCAGAATATGTTTCAAAGCAATCATTTTCTATTGTCTTAAGTTTTAGTCAATAGAACTGTACATCTAAGATATATATATATATAATAAACAGGTACAAAGAAAAACATGTTGAAATAAAAATATATGAACGATGAAGAAAAGTCGATGTATTAGGTATTTGTGAAGTTTTGATTAGTTATGCCAAACAATTAATTCACAATTGGAAAAGGTTATGATATTCTTAATGAAGTAGAATTTAACTTTTGATATCGCCATTTTAACAAGTCTGAAATTCTGAATAATATCGGTATTTATAAAAATTCTGTTGCAAAGAAAATCGGTATTAAAAAAGGAAAACAAAAATGTACTGTTAAATGATAACGTGATAAGAAAAACCTTCTTTTTCTTTATACCTCTTGGAATATGAGTTTCGGATTAGACGACTTTTCTAAAATGTTTAATTTTTCTTAGTATTATGCGTGTCACACGATTATCTAAGGTATAGATTTTCATAGATGCTGTTGGTTTTTTTCGATTGACTACAATATCCAATAATACATGTTTCTCCCTATGCTAAATATTTTTTTGATTGTAGTCAATATCGGTTTTTCAACAGAAGATTATAATAGTTCATTAAGACTTTGATTAGGTTAGGAAATTAACTATAATTAATATTTTTTCTTAATCAATTACAGTTGAAACTAAGATATTATCTGACAATTTTGATGCTTACTTTAAATGTTATCAAGAAAATTTGTTAACAAAAAAAATTTCAAAATGGATATCGTCTTCTATTCACTCGCATCTACGTTCACACCCTATTATACTCTCTAAATTGAGCAATTTTTATTATTCGCTTATTAAATGTGTCATTATAACTGGGTCATTTCCAGACCCATTTAAACAATCAATTGATGTTATAATTGATGAATATTAATCATTGTTTCAATTACTAAAAAAGTATAAAAACCTTTTGGCTTCACTTATGAAGCATATCAATTAAAATCGATTCTCTTAGTATAATAGTTTAAAAGTTATTGATTAAACTCCAAGCATTTTATTCATTCTTGATGCATCTGAGATATTCTGATTATTTGCAACTATTTAAAAGATAATAGAAAGAGCAATCTACAAAGATAGAGACAAGAACAAAACTTTTTCTTCTAAAACAAGTATTGGTAAACTATGATCAGTTAGTAATTCCAAACGATCGGATTGATTTTATTTATCATCTAGATCATAGAAAGATTTTGAGTTGAAATATTTAATTATTTGATCAAGAATAAGAAATTATAATTGATCAAATAATGACAAATCGGTTATTTTTATAACGTTACAAAAAAGAAAGCTATTATTGATTTCATTGCTCTTCGAATTGTATTGCAAAAAATATTAATGTATTCATGATTTCTTTTGTAGCTTCATGAAATGAACATTATTGGTAGAAATTGAAATCTTTGTTTGGAAGCATATATTTTTATTATTTTACAGTTTGACATTACTCACTGTTAAAAGTACACATAATTAATTAACAAACAAAGATTTCAATAAATAAGAATAATAAATAATCAAAAGATATAATGTCTACAATTATGAACAAATAATTTTAATGTTATATTACTTTATTAATAATTCTTTCATTTTGTAATTCAAAACGATTAATTTTTATCATGGGTATGAATTGATATTAAACTTTTTGTATATTGATATTGATTCTTTAACGATCATAATAAGAAACAACAAATGTTTGAAATGATGAAACATTTTTTTTTTCATTCAGATAAATAAAATTGTCTCTCTTATCCAAAAATATTCGTTTGACTTAACCATATTAGTTTTTTCTTCCAATAATCGATCAACATTTAACTTGAATAATACTTGTTTTTTCTTATTGTTAGAAAAAAAAAATACTTATGTTCAAACTAGTAAAAGTAGTCGATAGGATACAAGGTTTATAATTCTCAATACATTACCATTTAAAAAACAAATATAGTGCAACATAACACTTCTCGAATATAAGATCAATTCTTTACTACAATCAATATTTCGTCAAGAATCTTCTTACTTTGGCTAAGTTATCAAGATGTAATCAGATCTACAAATAAAAAGCAAATGTAAAATAGTACTCCTATATATCATAACTAATTGCAGATATTATATTTATATATTTGCACAAATGTCAAAAAAATTTGCTGTTGCCAATAAATTTTGAAATAAAAAAAGTGAAAAAATAATGCTAGAGATCGTAGCAATTAGATACGAGACAAAAACATTCTTGAAAACTTATTTTGGGTGTCTAAAAATTTTCAAAAATCTAGAATCTATTGTAATGTCGTGGTGGCTGCAATTGGTATTTTCCGTAGCTATTTAAGACAATGATGGAGCAGCGGTTAGATCGCTATAGTGCCTGTGTTGGTGGGTTAACCGATCAGCTCACGTCTCTAATCATAGATGAAAACATCGTCAATAGGAAACTGTTGACCATACGGTTTCTAACGTGTTTATTTATAAAATAAAGGATGGTATTTTGATTTCTGTTCGTCCTAGTGAAAAAAAGAAATACTAAACGCAAATTTATCAACACTAGCTTACATTTATGTTCAAAAAGGGTGGCTCTGACAAGCTGCATATTTTTTTTCGCTATTCTTTCTAATCCGTCTATGTCATATTTTCATCGAAATTATTCAACTACTTCTTAAAATAAAATCTAACAAACAATTTGTCTACACCACTGACAATTCCTCATATTATTAGTTTATTCACTTTTTTTTTCGGCTTGAAAACTATATATTCAAAAACATATCTGATTTCGATTACTGTGAATCGAAAGAAAGAATTATGTATAGAGATTTGATCCACAGATAAATGAAATTCAGATACATGTCGTGAGGAATTAAAGCCAACAGCAAAGACATTTACGATTTACCACAGTGATAACTTTTAAAAAGTGAAAAAGACAGACATTAAGTTTTATCTATAAGAAACATAAGCTGAGAAGAACAAACGCATGTTGCTAGTGTTTTACCTTTCAAATAAAACTAATGAGTAACACAAAGCGTCCCTAAGATTTCTTCAAGAATAAAAATGCTTATCTTTTCTTTTCTTTGATCATGCTTTCTGAGTGTAAGATTATCATTCATGCAATACATCGAATTGAGTACTATGCAATTTTCAACAAATTACAAATTATTTTGTTAGATTTAAACTTCAAATCAAAGAATTGAATTCTTGACGAAAGTTGAGTGTCTGGGTATGGATATCTGTCTCATCTTTGTCCTAGCTCACAATTTTACCGGCACCCATACCTACATTTTCATCCACATCTACACCGCTTACTTCAAACGGCTTTTTGGTTTAGAGTCGATTTAGCATTTTTCTTTTGCTCAGTTTGCAGCGCTGAATAAAAAAGCAACGCTTTCAAGTTTTTAAATTTTTGCTACCTGAAAAGAGCATCCATAAACACTAAGAACTAGTTGTTCGATATCAACAGCACACGTTCTATCAAACCATGTGTAAGAAAGATGAAAAAAAAGTGTTACTTCAAGTTCGACTTGTCGGCACCTTACAAAACAAGAAAAAATGACGTCAATATCATATAATTGTATGTTCGATTGTAGGCGATATACACTAACCAAAGCAGGAAAGAAAAATATTGTATAAAAAGGCATATAAAAACTCATTTATATGCATCGTTTCTACATATACAAATTTAAACAGCTTGTTGCTGCAGTTACGATACGTCTACTATCGACGAATGCTCTTCGTAAAATCATCCTTCTTCTCGAACAAGAAATTTCAGAATCATTATCATCACTTGTTTTTCAATCATTTCAATCATTACTCATTCTCGAACAATGAGCATGGCAAGTGCTTAGTACCGAGTCTCATCAGTGCATCAATGAACCGAATTATTCCAAATTCTTGCATGCTTTTGTATCATTCAATAGGACATTAATTTTTTAACTATGATGCTGTAGAAGGTGATACGAAAACAACTCTACTTATTTCTGATGTCACTCATTTCATAAATAGTATCTTTGAACTAATTGCATTATCATCAAGACGTTTCAATGAAATTCAAATGGATTCGGTGAGAAGACGACGGCACAATCACATTCATCTGAAAGTATGACTTCAATAATAACTTATTTTATTTATTTCAAACTTTGTTCGATAAACGTTCGCATAAAATATGTTCATTTATTTATGAAAAATCATCGAACACGAAATCGCTGGACCCTATGATTACCATAATCTGAAACATAAAGATATGTTTCACTTGGATCGAGAGCCACATCAGCTGGTTGATTCATAAGTTGAGTGGTACTGCCTGCTACACCATTCGCACTGCCAGCCACAACGGATCCTTGAGTGGCACCAATTGTCCATTTCATAACTCGGTTGTTGCCATAGTCAGCAACATAGAGAGTTTGACCATCACGTGTAACCCAAATACCTCCAGGTCCATTCAACTGGTTCAAACCTGTTCCTGCAATACTGTTACCTGCTGCTGGAACTCCTGTTCCATTACCGCCAATGATGAACTTTTGGATGCGATTGTTGGTAAAGTCACTGACATAGAGCGCGCCTCGAGCCTCGTCTAAATGAATGAATCGAAGACGACCTAGTTTATTATTGGTCGAACCCTGAACTCCCGGTATTCCAGCAATGAGTGTACCATTCGTGGCATTCGGTGTCCATTTAACCACCATATAACAATAATGCAGTGATATGTAGATATTACCAGAGGAATCAACTGCTATGCCATAAGGAGTGTAAATTCCGGTAAAAAGGCAAGCACTTGTCGATAGTCCTGCAGCGGGAAAACTTGTCAGGTTTATTCCGGCTCGTTGGATGTACACGGCACCATTATTATATGTCCCGTCAGCCATATAGATGGTACCCGAACTGTCCGCGAAAATATCTAGAGCTTGAAGAACGCCACCGGAGAGAATTATTTGTCCCATGCGTGAGAAAGCTGAATAAACTTGAAATGTATTAAGGTCCCAGTCTCCAACATACAAAGATCCATCGAATGGAGAAACGTAAATTCCCCAAGGACCTTTTAATGCAGTTGAACCACTACCAATAGTGGCATTACACAAACCGGCCACTGTTTGACCAACGCCTATGGCTGGTGCTACAATAATGAAGAACGATATCTTACATTGACCGATGTTGCATGACTCAAAGTCATTGATAGTAGCACATTAGTTCTGTACGAATGCTCAAAATTAAAAATACGCTCAATATCGAATCCCTCATGTTTGAATACTACTTTAATGCTTTCCAAAAGTATGTTGAATGTAGTGTTATCGGATCAATAGAGAAAAATCTAACTCTTTGTAGCTTTGTTTTTATTCCGTCATAATCAAAACACGGATATCATAGTCGTAATTGTAGTATATATGACCGTACGTCCAATGGTTTGAGGAGATGACATCAATGTGACCATCAACCTACCATCAGACTATGTTCAACAATTCAAGAAGTTTCTACTCAAATGTATTAAACAACAGTATCACTAGCAGGAACATCTGACGAACGAAACGAATTAGACTTCGGAGCTAACCTTCGCATTTCATTTTTTTCCTTCAAATAATTTCTTAGTTAGAGTTGTGCAAAAATGTAATGGAATAATACATGACGTTCTTAGGCTTGTGCATCTATTATAGCTCCTATATATCTTCCTCGAATGCTATTTTGTTGCCATCTCTTCTTGTCTCCGTTTTTCTTCTCTTTCTATCTAACTATCAGTAAAAACACAAAACTCAAGTGACTTACTTGTTGAGCATCGATAGGTGAAGTCACAACTTGGTTCACAGGTGAGATTGAGATCTGATCTACAGGCATCGACCATCGAACAAACTTGACTCCGAAGTAGTTGTGCGAGACACATTGAGCCATTCCAGAACGTCTTCGAAGGACATTGACAAGTAGCACTGCTCGTATCACATGTCATGTATCGACTTTGAGCACATTTGCTACATGATTGATTGTGAATATTGGTATAAATGCTGGGTGAAAATCGAATAGTACCAACTGATGACTGAGGCTTCGAAGGCGACGCAACAATAGAACCTGTTGTCATGTCACTGTCCCACAAGCGACACTGTTGTGAGTTACTATCAAAGTCGAATGTTCGACAATCTACACGTTTATTACACTCAAGATTACAATAGAACTGTTTTTTTGTCGTAAATATGAGCAGGGGAGAGAGGGAGCTGTCGGCAGGAACGAATTCCTTGCCTGGACCACTAATATCAGATACAGATCGATCTTGTATAGTTGACTGGAAGAAGAAAAATAACACAGTAACAAGAAACAGGAACAGTTGTGAGGTAGATCTCGCCATGGCACGTTCAGAAATGAGTGAAAAGAAACTATTATAATTTTTGACAGAAATGCTCAATTTTAATAGCAAAAAAACAAAACAAAAATATGCTAAATGAGTTATTTTCTCATGCCAAAATAACATCGTGCACGATGACCGTAGAAATCGCTTACATTTCTTTTGAGTTGCGTTCATCGACTGCATGTATTCTAGCAGAAAATCATCTTCTATTGTAATGGAGTTTGCAATCTACATAAAATTGCTCGACACATTTTTTTTTTTTTACAAGCATTGAGATATTGAGGTGTTCTAGAACAACTTCAGTATGTTGACTGTAGGATATTTCAGAAAAGTGTATTGGGTGACGTAAAATAACTAATCGTGAGAAGCAAAATTCTATTTATATTTGGGTGTTTCAATTTGATCTATGTCTAAGTAGATGACATATTTGAATCATCTACAGCTCAAATCTTCTGTCAAACAATCTATATGAATTCAACTCAATTGTTTCGAGCCTAGAACTTTTATCAGAGCATGTGAATTGTATTCTAACACCGTTTGTGAATAATCAGCCTTGTTCCAACACAATCCTTGCAATCAGACTTTGGTTAACTGTGTGCAAGAAAATTCGATGATTTTTCAACTGATTCTTATTGAACAAAGATCACTATACCAAATAGAAATAGAATCGTGTGTTTTTTCGATGAAGGCAACGAACGAATACATCTGCAAAGCTGGTGTCTGGAATATTTGCTTATACATTCTTCATGCCTCCTCGCGTCGTATAAAACAGTCTTAACAAAAGAAATATTTTCTTCTTTGAAGATTTTTCCGTCGTATACGCCAAAGCATGTGCATAGCACTCCGCTTACACCGAAAATATCGTTAACACATCTGTTGTGCTTCTATTTGCAAGAAGAGAAAAAAAAATAGCTAGTTTTCCCAATCATAATGTTTAGCAAAAAGTTGTTAACAATAAAACAGAATAGGAAGTCTGGCATACTTCTTGAACTAAAAGAAAACGAGAAAAAACTAATTTGTTTTTCAATTAATGATATGAAACACAATATAGCTCGTAAACAAAGTTTTTTTTACAAGAGAATCAGTAAAAAAAACATGATGTGTTTTGAAATGTTAAACAAGTAATAGAATGAATAACTTTAATATACTATACATAAACTTGATTGCTTGAACATTGATGTTCAATAAATGTTTGTTCTTATTTCACCATATAAATATCGGCTAATGTCGTGATAAATGGTGATCCTGTAGTTCCATGTGATCTGTTGTCAATACTTGTTTTTCATAGACAAAACATTTTGTTTTATTTAACGATTGTTTGATGTGAAATAGGCGACACAAGTTGAAACCGCTTTGTCGATGTGGATATTTGACTTTTGTCAGAAGTAAGGGTGTCATATTTCACTTAGTATAACTAGTAAGTGCTGAGTGTTAACACTTACCACTTACCCGGTAAGTGAAACTGGTGGTAAGCAGTAAATGTGACACCCCTAATAATAAGATATAAAAATGATTTGAAGTGTGATTAATATACAGGGCAACACGAGATGTCAGACCTGCATAAAAGATCTTTGTTGATCAAGACTTTGACTTTTTGATTTGATTTAAATTTTGCTCCAGCTGACAAAAATTTTAATCAATTTTTTGTAGCTTTTCTCGACTTAGATTTTTTTTTGTCTAGAGAATTGAAAATTATACAGATCGATGTAGAATTTTACGCTTCACATTATGGTAAAAAAAATTTGTTTGATATTGTTAATTTTGACTTTGAAATTTGGATATTATCGATCTAGAGCATGGCATTTGAAAAAAAAATTTTATTTTTTATATTTCATAAACCGCTTCAACTCTATTACTTTGTTACAAATGCATAACTGGAAAGAGCTCAAGAAACTGATTAAAATAGCCATCTCAGAGTTCCTAAAACACAATCTCAAAGTGACATTTTAGACGAATTGAAATTTTTCTAGATCCAGGGTATATTTTTTTCAAAAACAATCGATAAAAGGATGTGGCTGGGAATGTAGGTGGGGATGATGAGTTTAAATATACTCAGCCGTACACCTACACTCATACTCGTACCGTAAAAATTTCAAAGTTAACGATATTAGTACATACAAAAAAAAAACTATTATATTCTAAGGCTAAGTAATGATTAAAATTACGAATGCCTAAAACGTTATGCTTATAAAAAAAAAATAACAATTGTTTTAACATACTTTAAGAAAAATTTCAAAGTTATCAGCATGATCATTGGCCATAACAATACCTGTCCAACCATCACGATTAAAATTGCCTAAAGCAATCGATACTAGACGAGAATTATATGGAATAGCATATAATTTTTGCTTATCAAAAGTCCCATTACTATATCCGAGAAATATTCCTATACTATTACTTCCATTGTTAGCAACGCTAATATCTATCAAATTATCATTGTTTAAATCACCAAGAGCTATTGAGTATGAATTCGAATCAGCTTCAGTTGAATAAAACGTTGTCTTCTGGAAAGTTCCATTGCAATATCCACGCAGTACACCGATATTATGTGTGTTATTATTAGCTACGGAAATATCTAAACAATTGTCATCATTGAATTTTCCGACAGCAATCAAAATCGGATGCGATTAATTTCCAACTGGATTTGTGATCACGTCTCGAAAAGTTCTGTTACCATATTCAAGTAATATACCAAGATTTGTCTTACCATAATTAGTAAAAGCAATATCATTTTGATGATTGTTATTGAAATCGCCGATTACGACATTCCATGGAAGAGATTCAAAACCTGTGGAAAACATTGTTGAACTGGAAAATGGTTTACTACCATTAGCAAAAAGTATCTCGATACTGTTTGTGCCTAAATTTATTAAGACAATATCGAGTTGATTATCATGATTCAAATCACTAGCAGCCAATATGACAGAAATCAAATCAGTTTCGCTTCCATAGCTTGTAATAGTGCAAAAGTTCCATCATCGTAGTCATAAAAAATGCCAACACTGATTGTACCGTAACTGATGACAATAATATCCAATCGATTGTCACTATTAAAATCACCAACGATTAATGATCCTGGATACGACTGATTGCCATTTGAATAGGTATAGACATTACTAAAGGTTCCATCGGCATGTCCTAAAAAAATACAATTTTTTTTTCTGCTTCATAATTGGTGACGACAATATCGATTTGTTTATCATTGTTGAAATCACCGATGACGGCTGATTATGGATGAGATTCGAAACCTGTCAAATATTTATTTTGTTTATCAAACATACCATGATCTTTTTCGAGAAATATGCCGGCATTGTTTGTAGCAGAGTTTGCAACAACAATATCCAATATATGATCGTTATTCAAATCACTTATAGGCATTGATCGATGATGAGTACTGTAGGTGTCAGGCTTCTGAAGGATTAGTTTATAGTTAAGTTCACATAAGTTATCTAAAACTACGATTGAAATGAATCAAAGATCATGAATTGATTTAAATCTCGAATGAACATTTCTAGCCATTTCGTACAAACAAGAATATTTGCATTAGAAGTGGTAAGGAGAATATTTTCACAACTCTTTTCTGTAATAGTTACATAAAAAAAACTTTAAATGGATCAATTACTATGTAGTTGCATATAACGTCACGAATATCCAAACGCTCTTCGAGGATTCAAAGTGAACTATTGCTCTGCCAATTCTAGAAGTATGTCAATATTAACACGTACTGAAAAAAATAAATCTTAGGTAATAAAGAAAAATCTGTTCTACACTTAATCTTTTGTCATATTTTCGTAGACTGAAGAAACTAGATGTCTGCAGAACGGTAATTATTTCATTTTGTCTGTTGGAAATGTATTATTTAAACCACCGATTATCTGATTTTGCATGGTTGTCTTACATTTTTTGAAAATTTTTTTACATTTGACTTCTAGAGTTTACAAGAGTTCATTGTTTGGATCGCTTCTAGACTTACAGTTTTATCTTAATTTTTGGCGTCCTACTTAAGACATATCTAAAGTAACGAGACTTTTAGATATACACTAACAGACAGTGATTAATTAAAGTTTTTTCGTGGTAACTATTTGAGTTAGTAGTCATCATTACTCACACAAGATCAACTCATTATAAATTATCTTTTCGATTTTTTAAAAAATACTCTTTGATGAAAAGACTCCTCATCTTGCTTACGGTACACAATACAATGATTCGAAACTTTTTGAGGCGACCGTTCCCTAGGAAAGGCTAACAAAAAAAATGATTTCAAGAAAAGAACTTGTCAAAATAAAATCAAACTGGTAGGAAAATATTTCTTGACATCTCTTTCTAAAACTATGAGCCAAATTACTTAACAAAACATACAAATATGCAAAGACGAAAGACTGTGACTTCGAAGAATTATATGTAAAATTCATTCTAAACAATTGTCCACGAATTGAGAAGAAGAGATTATCGGTTAGTGTTCATGCCATGAAAGCAGTTGATCATGTCGTGCACTCATCAACTTAAACAAATTTATTTATTGCCTAAGATCGAAAAATATATGAACACATTTCCACGCAGGTTATTTTACTAGCTGATATCTTTATAGTTTTCATATTCTTTTTTTTTTTTCTTCAGAAACACTATTATTTAGTGGGTCACAGTTTATGGAGTTAAGTGCCTTAACTAAGATAACAAATATTTGCATCAATTAGCATTCGAAAAAAGACAACTTCTAGCAAACAATTTAAAACGAATCGATACTCTTTGTAATAATCAAAGCTATGGTATGACCTAAGTAGCATTTCTTGCATTTCGATTATTTTAGCTTTTAGTTTCGTTCAGTTTTCCTAGGTACTTCAAATCACAAAATCAAGAAGATCATAAGTATTTAGTCTAGGACTACGTGAATCGGTCTTCGATGAATGTTACTTGTCAAGATACAGATCAAAAGAGCAAAAAAGACTAATCAACTAAAATTGAACATCAAGGATTTTCTTGTATGCGTGACAATTTTTGGTTTTTAAATCCTTGGTTTATTTTTATTTTGTTCCTTTGAAATAAAAAATATATTAGGGCTAATTCAAAAAAAATTCCTTGTTTCTCTACTAGAATTTATGTTGTACAGTAATCCCTAAAATACTATAATCATGGTTTTTTAAGCATAAATGTACAAGAATGCATAGCGTAGAATAAAATGCATACTTGAATTTCGTGGCGAAGTCAAACAAACGACTACAATACCAATAATCAAAACGAAAATGGTGAATACGGAGAAACTAAGGACAGTCATTACAGAAGGTAGAATTGCCAATGAAAACCAAAAACTAAACGAGACAATGGTAAATCGTGATTATCAATGAAATATAAAAGATATACCGAAGTAAGCTACGACTAATCGTTGTGAGTAAGTGAGTTCCGGCATCTGAAAGATTTTCTCGATTTTGTGAGTGCTGTATGATTTGTGAGTTCTGTTTCAAGATGACCGAAACAAAACTGCTGAGAACTTAAGCGATCAGATGATATTTGTTTACTATCCAAGGAAATAATTTCAATTTGAAAAATGAATTCGAATAATAAGTGATAATTAATGTGAATTAACTTCATCGCTCTATATTTTCAATAAAAATACATTCTACGCTAAAAAATGACATTCCATTACATGGCACTCATGATGACTAGAACTAGTTTTGGCAATTATGTCATATAACGACGACTTTTCAACTCTGACAAGTTCAATTTCTCGAAAACTAAATAGAACAACATCTAGAAGTGGCACAACATATCGTGAGTAGTGACTTGATTACTCGTCTGAGAATGTCGTCTATGAACAAAACAAAATACACACAAATATAGTCGATCTTGCAATGTATTTATTGATCAAGAAGAAAAAATACATGGGTACAAGATGATAAGATCCTTTGACTTTTTAGAAAGGTTTTAATTTTCAATATCATTTTCTCATGGCTTTCTACTTTTTGATTTTCATTTGATACTCTTTCAAATGCACTAGTTCGTTTTGAATACAAGTAAAGGAATTATCACTATACTAGTAAGACAACTGTACACCATATGTCTACGTGTAGGAGACTGTAAAATTCAAGGAGTATAGTTTAATATCAGCTAATAGAACATCGACAATTATAAAAAGTTCAAACGAGCTTCTCTTGAAAAAATATTCGAAATTTCACTTCTTTGCATTCACTACACTATTCTAAACTAAGTTTTACGATGTAAGTTTGAGTAACTTTGAACAATTTTCGACATAGTTATCGTTTTTTAAGAGATCAATGACGACGAAAAAGAGATATCATAGTAATACTTTTCTCCTACAAGCCTATGTAGTCTTCTGTTTCAAAGAATTTCTTTAATATGTACCCATCCATCGAATCGCTGTCTGGCAGAAAAGGAAAGTACGTATGTGTTCAAAAAATTTCATTTTTCGGTTGAGAAAGGTCATTTTTCTAAACCAGGAACGACAACGCTAGCATTCTGCCCGTAAATCTACACTTTTGCGCACCTAAAATCAATTATTATGCAATATCAATGTCACATGTATAATCAGCATGTAAAACTGAATCAAATGTAATTAGCAATCAACCAATTCGAAGTGTTTTCATTTTTTTTTTCAATTTTTACTCAGAAGCTGCACCAGATTTTCCTCAGAAAATGAAAACCAGCTCAATGATTTGGGGAACATGGTATTTTACTTGATTTTTTTTAAATGTTGATTCTGTATATGACACTTATATAGCATAATAATAATTGGTTATAGGTGGTGAAAACGGAGATTTGTGGGTAAAATGGTAGTCTTTCGTTCCTAGTTTAGAAAATATGACATTTCTCAGTTGAGAAACAAAATTTTTCGAATACATGCGTACTTTCCTTCACTGTCAGATACCGATTCGATGGATGTATAAATATTAATAGAAAAGTTTTGAAACAGAAAACTACATATGTTTGGAGGAAAAATGTTACTATGGCATTTTTTTGTCATCATTAATCTCGTAAAAAACGATAGATATGTCGAAACTTGTTCAAGATCATCCAAATTTACACTATAATACTTTGTTTGAGCTGCTGAATTCGAATAAAGCAGTTTTAGAAGAGCATAATGAATGTAAAGAGGCGAAATTTTCAGTTTTTTTTTTCGAAAATGATTATTTGTTCACTTGTTTCACATCTTCTAGTATTTTCAAAATATCAGATCCAAAACTTGATCGAAACACGATAAAAAGTAGATATTCGAAATCAATTCGACGAGTTCTATCAAATCATACATAAATAAAATAAAAACGCTCTTTCACTCCGTTTTGGATTTAGAGTATTTTAGTAATAAAACTGTAATAAAATTAACTTATCTGTTTGGTATTTTGATTTGTATTGCACTGTATTTAGGCTAAAGCAAGATGATTTACTCACTACACGCTCGTTCAATTCGAGGTGTAAGATAAATTTTTGTTACCAACGAGATTCAACTGGACTCACCGACTTTCATTTTTTTTTTCTTATATATGTAAACGTCTTTTTTACATTATAAATAAACATATTCTTTCGTTGATCAAGTACTTTTTTGAATCGCACATTTTCATCTATTAATAAGCAAGAGTAACGGACCATGGACGAAGAAATGAATAAATAACGGCAAACGATGTGCAAGAAAAAAAGCATGAGATGCGATGCGTTTATATTTTCTTCATTGATTAGGTACGATAAAGAGAAAAAAGACCAAAAAATGGTTCCGCATAATATTTATCAACGTGCGCATACACATTCATGCTTCATGGTGCATATGGCAAAGATAATTATGAAGGCGTGATTTGAGGAAGAAACTTTTATACTGTGTGCACTATATGTATCCATGTTTAGCATTCATACTTTTCGAAGGAGAATAGAAAAGAAAACGAGCAAAGTTGATTAAAACAACCTTAGATTTTGATAATGTATGCGCGAGATGAATTGAAGAAAGATTTTTTTTCCTCTTGATTATACTCATAATTGTGATCTATTCGGGAAAACCCTCGATATATTCAATAATAGTTTTAATACTGTGATGATTTTGTAGTGGAGCTTATGAATAGTCTAGACTTGTTTAATATAGCCAGAACTGCAAATAACTTAAACATAACATACTAGTTTGCACGAATAGAAGCTCGACAATTGAAGTCTCACTCTTGCGGATGTGGAATGTTTAATTTATCTACGTGTTTTTTCGTTAAAATAATTTGTTTATCACTGAAAATCATATTATTCGGCATCCTAAATGAAGAAGATAAAAGTCGCAATGTAATATCTAAATTGATTTTTTTCCACTGTTCATTGCATTTGAATGGTCATTGTCGCTCTTCTTGAGGGTCGAGTGTGAGTGTGGGTGGTTGCCGAGAGAAGTGTCACACCAA